ACAGAATTTTTTACCCAGCTGAATCAGACCGCAAGATATTCTATATCTCAGCTGGTCAAGATGCAAAAGGAAGAAATCAGAACCACTTACAAGTTTTTGTTTTGTAAGTTGGCCCTTTAAGTCTCTGAGAGCATCTTCTTTTGAGATTCTGGCCCTGGGGATTAGCGACAGGACACATAACATTTGTACTGTCTTCTCTGCTGCCCCCTTTAAAGAAACCATTTGGTTTTAACTGTAAATATGTTTTCTCTGCCTACACACTTGATTAGTGATGAACTGAAGAAGGTAAGGAAATATTTCAGTATTTTCTGACTTGGTTCAGTGTATCATATACCACATTCCCAGTTCACAAAAGTATGAGTCTGTGGATCTTAGTACTCACATGGAGCTCAACATCCCACTATAATGCAGGAAGTAACGAACTTCTAGATATCAAAGCAGTGCTCTCCAGAAAAAATGTTCTGATCAGGAGAGAATATGCAGGTTTCTGAGTCCCAGATGAGCTCTAGGAATATGCTGCAATGAGCAATTGCCCTTTGCCAAAAGTTGGGTCACCACCAGGACCTAGGTGAACACAAATAAACAGTGCTTTCTACGCACTTGAAAAGTAATCCTCTGGCCTTTAAAAAAAAAAAAGCTGTACACTTATGAGTCATTCTCAATAGCTAGAAGAAAATAAATGGCTTTTTTCCTTATTTACTCTAAAAACTAGTTTAAGAAGTGAGGATACTATGAGGTTAACTAAGAGGAGGTGGGACGGGGAAATGGGCTAGCATTTCCTAGAGAAGTCCACTAATTTTCAGATTAGGAACATGCTAAACTGGCTAACTCTACAACCACAACATACTTTATAATACATGACATGACTAGAAACTAACCAGCATAGCTCTGAGCTTAGAATGAAAGTACAACTGCCTATGGTGAGACTGAAAGCAGGTCTGAAAACAGATTTGACCAAAGTGTACAGCACAAATATTCCTATAACAGCCACATCACAACCACCAATACAGAGATTTTTGCTTCTAATCAGTCTGTCATGTGCCAATATTTGTAAAGAGCTATTAAATGACTTAAATGAAAAACAAAGACATTTTCTTTTGGGAGACACAGCTAAAAGCCATGAATGCCTTTTGAGCAGTTGGTAAAAATCATGCCAATCTGCCAGGCTGCTGCTCACTTCTAAATATAAGCATCATGGCTCTATGAAAGATTTTCTAAGGATGCTGACCTAGAATTTAAGCTCTCAAAGACTTATAAAGTAACTCTGGTCTCCTCCTAAAGGATGCGCCTTTTAGCAGGCCCAAGACAATAGAAACAAACAATAGGATTCCAGGGATTTGAAAATAGTGGTAGAAGATTCTTTAAAGAACGAGATGCTCAAGAATTCATACCTGCAGTTCCCTAGCCTGGAGAGACAAGGACAAAGCCGAGCTCTGCAGACTGATGGAACACAGTAGAGCAGGCTTCTCAACCACAACACTACTGGTCTTTGGGGCTGGATCACTTTGGTTTGTGGAGGATCCTGTTCATGTAGGATGTGTAGCAGCACCCATGGCCTCTACTAACTACATGCCAGTAGCACCCCACCACACCCAGTTGTAACAACCTAACATGTCTCCTGACACAGCCAAATGTTGCTGGAGGCAGAATCAGCCCTGGTTGAGAACCACTGCTGCAGAGACAGCTCACTCGAGCCCCTCAGTACGGAGTACTTTTGGTCTGGAGCTCTGGAGAAAGGCTAAACCTCAGATGTCGACCAAGCAAGATTCAGTGAAAGTTCATTTAGAACTACTGAAGAGAAAAAATGAGGATGATGGTAAAGCAAAAGTAGAAAAACAGCGAAGCAGAGTTTCTTTCCAAAAGGACATCAGTGATACTTTCATAAAACAAAGTAATTCATAAGCCATTATTCAACCTTTTTATTCTTTAGGAAGTTATGGCAGATAACAGAACACAGATGTCATAAGAATTTCCCTTCCTAAAGAAAATGCAAGCTTTTGTGACTTTAAATCAAATCCTTATCATGGGTGGCAATCTCTGCAGATAGATAGTTCATCGACAGAGGAAAATAACAGTTAAAAGCTAAGAGAGGGCCCATTAGACTTGAGGGGAAACTTGACCATTCCCATTCCCCCGTGCAAGAAGGAAAAGCATTTTACCTGTTAGAAATGCGGATTGAAGTTCACTTTACAGCTCACTAAGGTCAATGAAAAGTCAGAATGGACAAAAGCTGGGGAGAGGATAAAAGAGCTACCTCAAAAACACGAGTTGAAAACACCGTAGATATTTTCTGGCTCAAATCTGGGAATGTACGAAAAGTATGTATTGACTCTTCATCAGTTAGGTTTACTTTGCTCTAGGTAGAAGGCAATTATTCTAGCCCTTCTTTGAAGAACCATCAGAAATAGAAATGATCTGCAAACATCTGAGATCCCAGTGTTAACAAGGATGAAAACATGGGAAACCAGCCGCTAGGTGACAACGAGCCTCAAATGCCACAATGTGGCAATGTGACTGCGCAGTTCCTAAGCGCACAGCACAGTGAGAAGTCTTTCCAGAGGAAAAAAAATGTAGTTTCTGGTTTGCAAGGGGGAAAATACAAGGTACAGATCTAGTATGAAAAAGAAGAGTTATACACCCTTTTATAGTCATTAGTATCCAGGCAAAAACTGCTAAGGGTCCACATCACTTATATAACTGAGCAGCTTGCCTGGGAAAAGCCAGAATTCAGAGCTACTCGAACAGTACTGAACTGGTAAAAGAAACAAGATATAAAAAGAACCAAACAGCATGCAAACTATTGGTCTGAATCAAATTGTTTCAATGATAGTACCCAGTTGAGTTTCCTTTTAGTGCCTATTACACTTATTAAATTAAATAAAAAGCACCTTAAAATGACCTCTATATATAATCAATACACATCATTATAGTAGCTATATAAAAATGCAATATGCACACGATTTAAGCTTCAAAGGAACTAAGACTTTCTCTTTATAATCTTCATAAACATCAGAGCTATGATTCTCAAAATCATGGGGGAGGGGGGAACAGTAACAGCACATTTCAGTTACAGCTGACTTGATTCAGGGGCTGACACTCTCAGAATCCTGGGACAAGTAATAAATACTGAGACATTATGTCTTTGAGGAATGACATTTTGAGGGGACCTTTAAAAAATTATTGCTAGGAGACTACTTCCAAAAATCTAATCTACTTCTAAGCTCTTGATGGATGATGGTGTTGAGTGGTCTCTGTCAAGGATGGCCCAGGGGCACAGGGCTATAACCTTTGTTGGCCAAAGGCCTTGATGACACTTGGAAGGAACTTGGGATTTGAAGGAGATCAAATGAGAGAAAGATAAGTCCTGTTCTGACCGTGTGTTGTGTGTGTGTATGTGTGTGTAACCTTGTCATATGTGTAAAGTCCCAAGAAGACAATGTGGATATAGCAATTTTATCTACATCTAGAATTGCTTCAGGAGCCTTTTAAATATCTTGGAAAAAGCAATAACGAAGGAAGTACTGAGAAACAGAAACACCACACAAGTATCTCATGCCCCCACCCCCACCCCAACCAAGAGTCTCTGGTACATCGCACAGGATTCAGGAGCACAGAGCTGGTCTGCCGGATCTGCAGACAGGGGCCTCTTACGACCTCGCAACTAGGAATGTTCACTGGCAAATCTTTGGTCAACGCTCTACACTAATGCTAAGTAGAAGAGCACATTCTCTCTACAAAGACCCATAAGTAAGCCTGGATCTGTTCTCCCTTAGGTGCAAGGAATGTCCCTGGACACGAAGAGGAGCCAACTGTGTGAGGACAGAGACGAGGCCTGCCAGAGTTCTCACTGGCCTAACCCACTTTCTTCCTCTGTGGGTTCGGAAGGAGATGCTACATCCCATCTGCTACCAAGGAGCATGTCTAGAGGCTACTGCTGCGGCCTAAAAGTTGAGCAAGGTTCCTACTGTTACAGTCACATAGAGCCACAAGTCAACTCCCTTGATTAGAAGTATAATACTCACTTCATATTACAAATGTATAAAAATATGGCAGAGTGTCATAACGATACTTTCTTTAAGTGATTATATTTATAAAACAGACAGATATTTATCATATATATATTTATATATAGAATAAAATACTCCTGATGCAATATATAAATGTTACGGTTTAGTTTTTATAGAAACTACTGTAGCTGTCCCACTGCTTCACAATGTTCCAAACAGCTCAAAATAACTTTACATTTAACATAAAAGGTATGATTATAACAGTACAATATTAATTAATTATAAATAAATGTTACAAATCCTATCAAATATGGAACTTTAGAAAACAATTTAAGACATACAGTTAGTTCATCTGCTAACCCTTCAAAGGGATACTCTTGGATTACAATAAACCCCACATTTAGTCTAGGCAGAAAAAAATCTGTGATGAGGGCATCGGTCAACACGGATTTTTCTTTCCCTTGCAGTGCCAGAACATGTCCTGGCTTTCCCAAGTTCAACAGGGATTGCACTACAGCTGGAATGTAACGGGGAGAAACTGGCAAGAATGTCTTCTTCCTCAACGGTACACTCTATCCATTCTCACACAAGACCCGTGGCACGGGGATCCCTAAGGAACTCCTGCGGCTCTAAGATCCCTGACTAGCATTTGTGGCTGTGAGGAGCCAAATGGCTCCACACATACAATATTGCACACACCTTCATAAAGCTGAAAATACTGGCTTACCGCCCTGGCCCAGCCCATTTCCCACCCCACCCTCTAAGCCCAGCCCCTCCCGCCCTCCCAACTGGCTTGTCCCCTGACCCCAGCCCCAAGCACACATTACAAGGCTGTCTCTTTTAAATCATTCAGATTTGGCATTCGAGACCGATTTGTTCTGTTATAAGGGTGCCCATTTGGCCCACTCTTGGCTCCCAGCTGTTCAGAGTAGGAAGGCCCTTCTGTGGCACCGCGGGTCACAGAGGACACGTGCCAACCAGGGTCCATCTGACCTGGCAGCTGAAGGGCTGGCCTGCCCTTTGGCGTGGGCTCCTGTCGGATGTTACTGGTCCCACCAGAGGCCTGGCTCAGGGAGTGAATTCGAATTTCTGAGAAGGCATTTTTGACTTGTTGAGTTGTTAAGGGCTGGAAGCGGGGATCCGCGGCAGCCGGGTGATTGGAAGCTGAAGAGAGGTGCAACAGCTTGCGTAGTGATTTTAACGGCTGGCTCTGGAAGACAAGATGAGAGTGTGTGTAAGGTAGACTGGAGAGCTGGGAGGAAAGGAGCAGATTGGAGATGACGGCAAGGAACTGGGGAGGGTGGGCCCGGTGGGAAGGGAGGGCCTAGTCCAGCCTTATCTGTTCTTTTGTTTTTTTCCAGACAAGACTGAAGTTATTCTTCTTCTAATGAAAAGGCCTAGAAATCCAGGTAAGAAATCTGGAGCTGGTGTGGTGGCTGGTCAAAGGCTTAGGCCCCTTCTCTTTGGCTGCATCCCACCTTTAGAGGGGAGGAGGAAGCAAGTGATGTGTGACTCTCCCTTTTGAGAAGATTTCCCAATAGCGCCACATAAAGCTGGCACTTTTATTTCAATGGCCGGGGCTCAGCCACATGACCAAATCTAGCTGCAAGAGAAACTGAAAAAATTTTATGTTCCAATTAGGCAGCAACATATTCAGCTAAAATTGATATATCCCTCCCTTTTTTTGTCTTTAGCTTTTTATTTGTTTTTTTACGTTAAAATTTTTTTCCATTGCAGTTTACATTTAATATTATTTTGTATTGGTTTCAGGTATACAGCATAGTGGTTAGACAATCATATATTTACAAAGTGTTTATTCCCCTGTTCTTATCTCCCCAATTTCCCTTTCCCTTGACACTGCAAAACCAAATGTTTCCTTTCTGCCCTTTTACTTTTTTGGTTTTGGGGGTTTAAAAAAAATTTTGAGGGGAGAGGATAAAATTTGGGCATTAAAAATACAAAGCACAGAGAAACAAGCAAAAGCCCTGCAGACTCTAAGGTACAATTCACTCATAGGAGGCCTTGGATTCTTAACATGGGCTACCGGTTGTCCTGCCTGTCTGCTGTGTGGTGGGGGGACTGCACTGTGAGGCAGAAGGCAGAGTCCTGGAAGCCATAGGCCCTGTGGCTCCTCACTGGTGACATAGGGCTCACTCCCCTCTCCTCTATGTTGGTGTGATGAGGGGGTCACCATCAGAAGGGCTTTGTGAAAGCACCCCAAAATTCAAGTCCCTCCTCAGAACACCGTTGGCTGCCAATCTCAAGGCCCACGCTTTTAAGGGCTCAGGAAAGTTTTAATAAAATGCTGATGACATCCAGAAACACTACAAGATTTGATGGAACAGAGCACTGAAATCCAAGGGAAACTGCTTGAGAACTGACTCAAGCAGAAATCACTCCTAGGGAAGCATTTTCCATGGCCATTCCAAAGTCTGTCCAAGAAAGCTCTGTGGTCCCCATGGGAGGTGGCATAGAACACTACACACCCAAATGTAATGTTGTTGCTGTTTTTTTTAATGAAATTGGTATAATAACACAATGAAATTCCTGGTGATTTTCATAGCCCTGACCACATGTAACTATTGGGCAATTATAGTTGACTCTTGAACCACATGGGTTTGAAGTGCATGGATCCACTTATACATGGGTTTCTTAAAACAAATACCTATACTATTTTCCATCTGTGGTTGGGAGTCCGCAGATGCAGACAGCTGACTGTATGCATTGATTTATGCTATCTTCATATAAGGGACTTGAGTATCCATGGACTTTGGTACCCACAGTGGGTCCTGGAACCAATTGCTGGCAGATATCAAGAGACAACTTAAGTTCTGGAGGAGTTCAAAGTTAAAAGCAGATTTTTGACTGTGTAAGAGGTTGCTGTCCCTTAACCCCCATGTTGTTAAAGAGTCAACTATGCAATAATATGTGTTCAGGTAGAGATACAAAGTTACCTGAAAAGAGCTTTTTAGACAAAAGAAGTGGTTATACAAAGAAGGTTCTAAAGCCCCGTACTCTTCTTTTTAAATTTGGGAATAGGACCTCAGGTCCACACTCAGAGCCTTGTGCTCTTCATTTGTACACACATCCAATAACTTGGATATCTGGTTCTCTATACCTCCTCTGCCCCCCAGCCTACATTAATTATGTTAGAAGCAAAAATATAAATGGTTGAGCAAATAAAATACAAATTTAGACAACTCCTTCCAGCAGCTCTAAGTAATAGCTTACAATTAAATAGTAAACAGTAAACCTATAAAAATACAGACTTCCTTCAAATCACAAGTAACCCTACAGACTCAAAAACTCATGAAGGCTGTCAGAAATTATAGGGAGGAATAATGGATTTATAAAATAGTGAATGTGATAAAAAGAAACAAGTTAGATTATGTTACGATGCTCATTATGGGATACTGAAAAGATATAATATTTTAAAATTTCCAATCAAAATCATTGTTTAAAGGCGATAAAACCTCAGTTACCTGAAGAATTTACAGATATAGTTTTTGCATCTTCTATTATGACAGAGAAATGTGATTATACATACTATCTAATATGTACTTCTTAATGCAACAGTTTGCCTATTTTCTATCAAAAATAGAAAATGGATTTCAAAGGTTGAAATATTCTTTCTTTTTTAAAAAAGATTTTTTTCTTTATTTTTAGAGAGAGGGGAAGGGAAGGAGAAAGAGTGGGAGAGAAACATCAATGTATGGTTGCCTCTCATGTGCCCCCTACTGATGTCCTGGCCTGCAACCCATGCATGTGCCCTGACAGCGAATCTAACTAGTAACCTCTTTGTTTGCAGGCTTACACTCAATCCACTGAGCCATGCCAGCCAGAGCTGGGCCATGTCTTATTTATCCCTTAATTTCACACCCCACCCCTACCCCCAACTAGCTGAAGCCTAATGGAAGCTCCCTTTTTTCCCTAGTAGGACAAGGGTCACTGACACAAGATCTCTCTGGACCCCTAAGATGTACCTGGCTACTAGTGAGGGTATATCCTGGGGAGACACTCAGCCTTGCTGTAACACTGAGAGGCCAAGTTTCTCAACCTTGCCTCCTCCCCTTAGAAGAACCGATCACTGCAGCGTAACAGTCTAGGAGTGATGTGGGTGCTACTCACTGGGGTCTGTAGATCAGATATCTTCTCAGGACGCCACTCCTTTGGTCTGCTGCTTGGAGTGCTAGCAGAGTGAATGGCTTTCTGCAACGTCAGAAGATCAGGGCCTTCAGAATTGGGCACCTAGAGCGGAATATAGATAAGGATTTAATCAGCACACCAATAAACCTAATTAAGATATGGAACTATACCCAAGAGGAGAACAAAAGCAAATCAAAACAAACCAACACTCAACCCCCTCCCCCCAAACCCCCCAAACAAAAAAACAGACAAGAAAGAAAAAACCCAATTAAAAAACCCCAAACTCTCCCAGTGTTCACAATGCAAGTGATGCTAGTTAAATTCTACTGCCCTCTTAATAATTTTCCCTGCATTAGGAAAAATTGGCAGATGATCATGCAGCTTTGTTAAAACCTCAACCCTTAAAGCATTCCCATGCTGTTAGTTTTAATCGCTGTAAGAGAGAGCAGTTAAATTGGGCTATACCAGGAATTGCTGTCGTATCCTCATTCCACATTGCAGTTAGGTTATGAACCAGTTCAATAAAACAAAAATTTGTTCCTGCTGGGAAAATGATCCAGACACCGCATTTGCTGGTATTCAAAGAAGTCTAGCAGGTTTTCGAGGGTAGCAAAGTGGAAAAGTATGGTTGAGTCATAATCACAAGACACTGCCCAGTAAAGAATCTGGGTCTAGCATTATGCACAATGAAAATGCTGGAAATTCGTGCCACAAATTCCAGATGAATGCACTTGGTTTGTTCACCGATTTCAATGAACACAGGAGCTTAACGCCAAATGTCAAGCAAAAGCCCTGGCTTTAAACCTAGTAACCAGTAAAAGCTAGAGCCAGGTAAGAAAAAAAGCAAATCACCTACTAATAGAAGCTGTTTTTTCATGGAGCCAGCTAGCTCACTTAATTTGGTCAATGCAACTTGGTTTGAAAGAAACAAACTGCCAACCAAGTGTTAACATACTCTGTGAGCCAAACACAAAGATATTTGTGAATTGCAAGTGTTAACTGAGTTCTTTACAAGAAATAAGGGGTTTTATGAATGCTGTCTGCCGACAACTGGCTAATCAGATAACCCAAACTAGCCTTTCGCTAGTTTGTTTGCTTAATAGCCTTTTATGCTTCAACCTCCTTAACTGATTCAGAAAATCCAGAATGGCAAAGAATTTATATCTCAGTGAATTTATGGAACTGGCTCAGGTACTTAACTAGCACAAAGAGAATATGACCCCATGAAAATAAAAGACATGCTGTTGTCATCAGTAAAACAAGTTTACTGGAGCAGTTTTCAGGGCTACCATACGTAAAAATGGGTACCATGGGTGGAGTGACTACAGGAAGCTTTTTCAAAGAAGAACTATGCTTTAAATGATTCTTTGAATTAAAAAGAGGAAAGAGGGATTTCTTGATGCTTGGATTCTCCCCGTTGGTGGAATCTGTCTGCAATATAAGATACAAATAAACTAATTGCAAAAGAAAAAGGGAAGAAAAGGTGTTCTTGCTGAAACTTCTAGCCCTTGGAAGACCTCAACTTGTAAAATATTAAGTCACTGAAAGAATGTCTGTGCTGTGTGTGCATCTAGAGAGGGTACTGTGTCATTTCTCACTTGGACATGAAGATGCCAACAATGTAATTTAAGACATGCAAAAAACTTCTATACAGAGAGAGAACATGTGGCCATGATCAACACCTATAGAAGGAATGCATACAGACCTGCACACATCATTCATATTAAGCTTGCAAAACATTTAAGGATTTAGTTATTATCAGAAATATAATTATTATAAAGAATTGTGTTTAAAGAGCTATTGATGAACTTCAATCTCTTCCTAACTGCTAGAGAAGACCTCAGTAACTAAATAATCTACCATGCAATCTGCCTATTAGAAAACATACAGGTACTGCAGACCCCTTTGAATGTCGTCAACTTTTGAACCAGAACACATCACTTGGAAAGATCACCGTTGCAGGATTCTACCACCAAAGAAGCCTCGTTTTATTCTGTTAGAAATATTTACCCCATGAAAAATATCTGGTGCAATTCAGAATATGGGCTTTCAAAGTGAGGAAACAAAGTTCAGTCTTTAAACCAAAGCATGATTATAAGTGGAGCTAGACACTAACTCGGGTACAACTACCAAGTTGGCAAAGTCACCATATGCTCTGAGGGCTTATGTAAGTCTCTGGATATGGAACTGAAGCCAGACTTCCCAAGGCGGCTTCCAGATTTGCTTGAGTTTAAGAAGGCACCTTTGCAATACCAAAGTATTTTTTGGCACTTCTTTTCCCTGTTGTGGATATCTCAATTATCAGAGAAGTAGAATGCATGTGAAGGTATTCCCATCACCTTTATTTTAAATTTTATTTATTTTTAGAGTGAGGAAAAGGGAGGGAGAAAGAGAGGGAGAGAAACATCAATGTGTGGTTGCCTCTCATGTGTCCCCTACTGGGGACCTGGTCCGCAACCCAGGCATGTGCCCTGATTTGGAATCAAACTGGTGACCCTTTGGTTCATAGGCTGGTGCTCAATCCACTGAGCCACACCAGCCAGGGCCTCCATCATCTTTCATAGATGCATATACGAGAACATCTGAATAAATTAGCCCACGAAGTTTCCTGTTCCTATGATGAGGCCCCAGGTAAGAGTTTAACTTGTGTCACTAAGGAGGCCACAAGAGAGACTCCAGGAGCAAGTGGCCGGAGGCTCTCCACAGAGGTGGGCAGCAGGGACTGAGGCTGGGCCTGCTAGTCAAGAGAACCCACTTCTAGTTCTCTCAACCGATACTGCAACTTCTGGCAGATCACAACTTGCTTGGGCAGTTCCTATATCAGCGAAATTAAAAGGGTTAAACTAGATTTAGGACCCATCCAGGCTTTAAAATATCTTGTTTTTCTATGTGAATTGGGAATTAGATTTCCCCTTTTTTGAACCTTATGCAAATGCCACAAAGCTCCAAATCTTTCAAAGCTTGCTTACCCAGTTTCCTTTTGCTGAGTCTAAAAAGTGAAAAAAGCAAACTTGAATTCTAATTTCTACTTATTTGAAGGGGGCAGAGTTAACGAAATGCCAGGCTTAGGAGCCTGAGGTCTGGCAGGATGTACAAAATACTCTTTGGAACTCTTACTCTAGATATCAAAGTCCTTAAAAACACTTTTTAACTAAAAACCCAGAGGCACTAAAAACTTTCGGTTTGGAAGACTTAAGGTATCGGCCTGTATAGAGATATTTTGCAGTTACTTTACATATTAAAAATGAAATGCATGAAAACCTCAAAAAAGTAAGTTCGAGTGGAAAGGATGTTAGAGAGTAATAGTCTTCCCATTTACCCTAACCTATACTATTTCAACATCTAAAACTTGAACCAGGTCCTGAGCAATAGCGTCAGTCAACATGTATATACTCGATTTAGGCCATGGAGAGCCTGGGCCTTTAAGTTTAATGTTGGTCTACCACAGACAGACAGACAGACAGACATCAAAAGTCAAATCTACACACAAAACACCTTCGATCCCTTGGTTTCTGCCACTTTCTTTCACTTAACCACCCCACAAATGACTATAGGCCTGAGGTTAAGAACAACAACATTAAAATAAAAATAAGAGTGGTTAAAAGGCAGTAGTATGAGTTCAATGTTCATGATGGACAAATGTTCCACAGATAGTGATAAAAGTATTATTTTATAGCACTGTAAATATTTTGAGCTTTTCTACTTTAAATCAGGTCTGTTTTGTTCATCCAGTCTGAATAACAAATGTAATAATATTTGGTTGAGTAGTATTTTGATTTGAAATTCTGCTTTAAGTGAGTTTGTTAGAGACAACAGTTTTTAAAAAATAAACACTTCATGTAGCCATTAAAATGAAGATAATAAAATTTGTGTAGTAACATACATGTTGTGTATATTGATAGAAAGCTATACTATTAAAAGCCAGAATTTTAAATTGTACTAGAATGATTATTATCCAAAACAAACTAAAAAAACCCATCTTTTCCCCATAAACTTATTCATAGGCTAAAAAGCTAAGAGAAAATATATCAAAATCCTAATATTAGTTGTGACAGGGTGGTAAGATTAGAAATGATCCATTTTTTCCCTCAAGTTTTCTGTAATGAGCTCATATTTATTTTATAATAAAATATATAAATTCAACAACAAGTAAGTCAAAGAATAATCTAGAAAGGTAATCTGTGAGACAAAAATCCTTACTTTCAGTATTATTCTTTGCTACTATCATCTATGTATCTCATCATTACTTACCATTAATTCATAATCCTAGAATCCCTTTTCCTTTTTAAATAAATGAGAGTTAATCATGTATAAAGTAAAACTAGAAACAAAATCATTTAGAATGGCCAACTCAACATTGTCTAGTCTGGAAGATGTCATAAAGCAAAGGGGGAAGCAGACCTCACATAGGTAAAGAAGTGCCTGCTGGCCTGGAGGCCTGTCTTCCCCATGTTTTGTCAAGTCACTAACCAGCAAAATCCTTGCTTGGGTGGTTCAGTGATGTGATGTGCACAGTTTCATGGAGCCAGCCCTGGGTTGAGGCTGAGGGCTCCCTAAGACTCGTTCCATTTCACAGTTCAATCACAGGATAAACATGTCTTCTTACTAAAGCAAGCCCTGCAATGTCAAATACTATTTCCTCTCTGTGACTTTGCAACCCAGAAGTGCACTTGTCAACATGGTAATTGGATAACCAGCCAGGGGAGAAAAATGAATGATGGTTAATTACATGACTTTTAAGATCAAACAGAAAACAAAACCATTTACTGAGTTTTTGCGTATCTTTAATCCTCAGTAAGAAATAAATCCTGTAGCTGCATCGTTTTTACATGAATACAAATCCACATGGATAAGACATTTAGAAAGGCTTAAAGTGTTCTCTCTCATCTAAATTAAATTTCTTCCATTCCTGGAGATTCTGTTGAATCTGGAAAAAGCTCTGTAACAGGAGGATAGCTGCTCCGAATTTGGGAAAAAAACACGTACAATGTATGCATGTCAGGTCTCACTAAGAAAAGAATTCAGTATGATTGCCACGTACGAAATGTAAAGTGCCCACAGACTAAGGTAGACTAGTATGCCACTGAATATAGGAATTAGCCATCTACTTACTGTTTGAGATTTCTTCTTTTTCTTTTTCATTGACCTGAAAAAGCCTTGTTTCTCTTTTTCCTTGAGTTGTTCCGAATGACTCATGTTTTCAGGACTTTTCCTAAACGGGAAGACATTTTAATCATATTGACTTTCCAATCGTTCTCCTAGCATCATTTGACAAATATAATGAAGATGGAAAGTGCATGACACTGGGTTCAAAGAGCCATGAAGATTGAAGCACACAGGTAAGGAGTGTCCTAAAAGCATAGGAGGAACTGCATCTAATGGACCATGGTTAATGATTAGCCTTTGGCACAGACTCAAACTAGCAATTTGAACATTAATAAAAATTATCTGTGACTCTGCTGCAGGACCATTTGCATGCTGTTGAAAACCTTAGAATTAGGAGTTTGAAAAGTACATGGTCTAAAGGACACTTTCTTCTGCAACCCTTCAAGGAAAAGAGCAGAAACATTTTCATTCATTTTTCTGTTTACCTTCTCAAAAATGGCTTAACAAGTTCATTATTACTGGCCTGCCAAAGTACACAACATTAAAAAACAAGCAAACAAATAAATAAAAAATCAATGCTGCTACAGAAACATTATAAATAGAAGTAAAAATCACACGAAACTAGAAAATTCCTTTATAAAAATCATATCTATTTATAGGGTAAGAAAAAAAACATGGAGAAGAAAAATGCTTAATACAAAGGATTCTTCTGGGAGGAAAGAAAAAAGCCTGTAATTCAAAATACTGACATGAAGCTTCATATCCCTGACACCACCCAGGCATTTTAATACAAATAAGAGATATTAAATGACAGCAAACAAGATACCTTGGCCCCAACAAGTTGGCTACTCGTTTGTTAACAGAGGACCTATATTACTTAATTTACAGTTTTTAAAAAACAAGACAACTGGTACTATTTTTCAAAAAGGCACATTCCATTGGCTCTATTTTAAATTTCAATATCTACATATGACTGTGGAAAACCATTTTCTCAAATTACTGGATTCCTTGTACTAACTATTCCCTAAAATAAAGCGTAGAAACATTAAAGGTGACAGAGTTTTTTCATACTTATGGTTTTAGAACACCTAACAGTGAAGAAGTTACTAGAACATCTAAGAAAAAAACATGAGCAAAGCAGCACCCTTTACTTGATTAAATCTGTGTGAAGTCTATAAACTATTACAGATCTGCATGATAGAAAAAAGCATGGAGCTATTAAAAATAAATCACATTGTTGAAGAATTTTCACTAATATGAAGGAATATCCAAACTATAATAGTAAGTGAAAATAGAATTCAGAACTTTCTATATGATATGAGCCTAACTATATTTTTTAAAAAGGAATATATGTGCACATGTATATTTTTTAAAAGGCAGGAATAAAACAAAATGTTAATAACTATCATCTCTGGGCAAGAGAAATTATTTTGGTGATTTATCATTTCTTCTTTTTAGTTGCAACACCAAAATGTACTGCAGGTATAATAATAAAAACTTTTATAAGCTACACAAAAAATTTATTTGAAAAACCAACAACTCAACATCAAACATGGGGGTGGAGGGGGGGAGAAATAGGAAGTAAACACCATGACTGTTTGAAGGAGCAATGATCAGTTCTTCTAAAGCATTTAGCCTAAAAGGTAATGGAGATCCCAAGGAAGTAAATGCACGTACTGTAGGCCCATGTGTTCCTGAAACTCATCAGGACCTGAAGTTTGATAGAGTCCCAAGTTCTGAAGTGAAAGTTTTATAATACAACACAACCAATAAAATAAAGAGTATTGGAACACTGAATAATCCATTTACAATTTTGAAAGCTGAAAAACTTCAGACATGATGTAATGGGTGAGAATAAAATAACTGAAAAGTTAAGGATACTTTAAGTGCAGTGTTCTAGTCTCGTCCCAATGACAGACTGGGCCTAGACCTCGGGAATTCGGTCTAACCTTCTTCTGACAAGCACTGTTTAGATTAAGGAGATGAAACCCTCTCGCATGAGGCCTAAAGACAGACTGCCCTAAACTCAATTCCGAGCCATAGCATTCAGTCATGTGAGGGTTCTAGAGAACCCAGCAGAACAGTGTAGTTTGCTGAAATCACAAAAGCAGGACTCTTAGCATTGAAAGGAACCTAGGAGAGCATCAAGTCCAACCAGCAATGCTATTTTTAATGTTCTGCAACCTCCAGAGATTAAAGAATTATTTACTCTCGTTATAGCTTATGTCTTCTCATACTGGGCAGTCTGTACAGCAGAGTATTCAGATTAACAGGTAGAACGTCTTTCCAATAAGAATGAAAGTCTAATGAAATCTCAAAGGTCTGTCAAGGGTCAGTAGTAAAAGAGCTTTCTGCTGATCCAGGAAATCTTTAAGGGGCGCATGTGACTGCAACCTCAGGAAGGGAATGGGTGTTACTATAAGAATGTTAATGCTGGCAATAGAGGAAGTGAAGGCTTGAAACACTGGTCCTAGGAGGGGCAGAATGTGAGATGGGAAGAGTCTGTCTAACAAGATGGAAGTGAGAGAATGAGGGTGGAAAAGGGTAATGAAAGAGGAGCAGGACAAAAAGCCCAGTATCTTTTGTTCCTTATGATGACCCCAAACACAGGGCAGACGAATCAAAGACTTTCTGCAGTGTCTTTTCAGAGGCACTGGATAAACTAGGGCCTGGAGTGGAGGGGTAATGATGAGGAAAACATCTTCAAACTGACATGGAGCAGGGGTGCTGGGGCCAAGATCCAGGCAGGGAAAGATCGCAGAGGCCAAAACAGAAAAGAAAATAAATTAGCCCTGACCTAGAGGATGAAAGCTAGGAGTAAAGCTTGAGTGTGCACGAATCACAAAAGACACAGAAGGAAGTCAGAGACATACACAGAGAGAAAGAGCCCAAGTGGGAGAGTAGGAGACAGAGAAAGAAAAAAGAGAGGGAGAAACTACATTGAAACATACACATACAGAGAACTAACAGAGAAACCAAAGGGAGAAAAGCCTAGGGGAGAGACTCAGGGAGAGACAGAGATGGAGAGAAGCTGCCAAGAACACAGGCCCCTGAAAAGTTGTATATTGTACAAAAGAATGAAGAGACTTGAACATTTACAACCAGTACTGCGCCCAGTGGGTAAGAGTATGTCCCATAATATATCTCAAGTTTGAATTCTTGACCCTGTGGTTCCACCTGGTTCAGTTGACAGTTATGTGCTGAGCTGAGCTAATTGTACAGCAATAGACACATCCAAGAGAAGCATCACAAGCAAAGGGCAAGTGGTGATCACATAAATCTCAGGGACAGGAGATTGAAGAAGGATCATCCAGCTAGTCACCTGACACATTATCCAGGGCTGATTAAACTGCAGAGGTGGGGGGGTGCTGATGGTACGTGGTGGGGGATAGTAACAGTCTGCTTCCTGAACAGTCACAAGACTCATGCAACAGCTAGTTCTCTAAGCAGTCAAGGGGAAAGAGAGAATTCAAAAGACTCACCTAAAAAAGGGAAGGAATTAAAACAAACTGAATCAAAGTCAACCAACATTTACAGATTACTTTGTATATGCCAGGCCCCATGTTAAGTGTTGGAACTGCAGGGCAAAATAAATAAGGAGTGAGACTTCAAGATGTTCACAGACTCAAGGCAGAAGACCCACAGGTTTCACAGAGGGTCAGACTTTGGGGGCTTTAGGATACTTGTTCTGGGAGCAGCATGAAGGTGAATTGAAGAGGAGAGAGGCATTATGTATAGGAGGTTAATATATAGGAGATCTTATTGACAGTCACATGAAGAAAGAATGCACCAAAGTTTATCAGCAAAGTAAGTGGCAGAGAGACACCTGACAAGCCATACTGAAGTTAGAGGACACAAATGGTAAAAACTGCTGATGTTAGCAAGTCATTGCTCTGGGTTGGCGGTCCCCAACCTTTTTGGCACCAGGGACCAGTTTTGTGGAAGACAATTTTTCCATGGACCAGGGTGGGCGGCATGGTTTTGGGATGACTCAAGCACATTACATTCAAGCTCAACTCCTCTGTGTGGCCCGGTTGCTAATAGGCCCAGATGGGTATCAATCCATGGCCGAGAGGTTGGGGACCTATGCTCAAGGCACTTTTGATGGTTTATCCCAGTTAATGATCACATTAACCCTATGAAGGAGGTGCTCTTCCTACCCCTATTTTACAGATAAGGAAACCAAGGTGCAAAGAGGTTAAAGTCATATGGCCAGAAGGTAACATTAATGAAGATACCCTATTTATTTCCAAAGTCTACTGTCTTAGTCACTAATGTTAAGACTGTCATTTTATAAATAAGGCAATGGATGTAAAGTATACTTATAAATGAAAAAGTATCTTACCATTTAAAAATCTTACTGTTTTAAAAATAATTACATTATTTTCACCACTGGGCACAGTAAAAATGAATCTTTGATATAACCCTGCCAACAGGGTCCAAATGGGAAACCACATAGGGTTAGGAGAACTGACTAAGGCCCTCTGTGACTTCTGGCAACAAAAACCAGTGATGGGCCCTCTGACAGACTGGTTTCATTCTAAATTCAGTGTGTTACAGTGATGTATCATTTGATTCTACTGGTGGAAGACCCGGTAGGTAGTTTTATGAAGTACACGTAAGCGCATCTCACATCTGGATTCTGAGCAGTCAGGAATACAAAGTCCACATTACTATTTTTAAAAAACTCTTACTTCCAGATAGATCTAATGAGACTTCATATATGTCAGTGGTCCCTAACCTTTGGCACCAGGGATTGGTTCCTCCACAGATGGGGGGGGTGTGGGGAGGGGGACAGGAGGCGGATCTCAGGTTGGGGGCAAGGCGGCAGACCTCAGGCAAGCCTTGCTAGTGGCCTGAGGGTTGGGGACCCCTGACATGTGTTATAATTATCTCCCCAAATTTTTATTACATATGACACAAAAAGATACAAGGACAAGCAAAGTTGGCGCATCATTTTAATGTCTGGCTACCATTATGCTTTCATGGTAGCAAAAAGAATTGTTCCCCCATTTCTTATCTTTTCACCCTGACAAAAGTCAGGTGACATAGAGGTGAAAGATAGGAGCTATGGAGTCAGAACCCATATAGGTCTACACCCTGGTTGCTGTTACTGGCTGTCCAGCACCAGGCAAGCTCCCTACTTTTTCTAAGCTGTTTGCTCATCTGTACAATGGGAGCCATTCCTACTTCAAAGGCTGACTGTGAGAACTGACTGTGACCGTGCATACAAAGTGCTAAGCAAAGTGTCTGCCAAGTGATTCAATAGCAACAAAAGAGGAGACAGTGAAAGACATCAATCATGTCAGAAGAATGCAATGGAAGACTTATGAGCTATTTACTTATCTGGGAGATTTTTTTCCTTTATATGTTATTCAATACAAATTCTAAACTTGACAGAAACCATTACAAATAATGACAAATCACATTTTCCACACTAAACCATCTCTCTTGAGAAAGAAAAGCCTAACAGGAGGAAGAACGCTCCAAAGTTTATCTAGAATTTCTTTGAAATCTCAAATCTCAAGTTAGAAAACATTAAGAGTAAAAACAAACCAAAACACTTACCACGGTTCGAATGCTGGTTGTCTTTTCGAGTGGTTAGTTCCAGAACTGCTTTCCGATGGTAGGGAAGAAACTCTAGTTGACACATTATTTTCATGGAAAGAATTATCTGGACGTGGAGATGGCACTAAATAAAGAAAGTCACTGATGTAATCTATTGGTCAAAGCAGGGTTCAAGTTATTCTATTGCATTTTTTCTCACACAAATAAACGAACAGATAAGTCAAAATCCTCATCTGCCCTTCTTCAGATAACTTCTGTGTTTTCTGAGGGTGGAGGCACTCCAGGGAACATTCTCCCTACCCCCACTGCCTACAAGAGCAACTTGGGAGGGCAAGTTAACACCAGGAAATATGTATCATATCACCAGGCAATATAAATTGACCCATTGGCTGATAAACTGAAAAACATTGTAGGATATTTAAAAGTATGAATATGATAGTCTCCCTTCACTGTTTTGACATTCTTTGGAGTTGAGGCTTTTTTACATCACAGACCCAACTATGCAAAATCTACTCTTAGTCTGAAGTGATTCTTAACAATATGAGGTCTGTCCAGAAAAAGGCCAGCCATTGTTAATATAACAAGAATGGTTTGCATTGACATTGACGTAACCTAGCAGCCAAAGAGAGTGGACTGGAATACACATGCATGAACAATGACGACTTTACCGTACTAGTCAGTAGGGGCAGTAGATATCGTTGAGTGAGCATGTGCACTGTGTGGTCATTGCATTCAAAATGACTTGAGCGAGTAGAGCAACAAATCTGCATCAAATTTCATGTTAAGCTTGAACATTCTTCCATGGTATTTGAATGATTCAGAAGGCTGCAGTTATGGGCAACTGTGATTGGCAGCTTCATCACAACAACACACCCACTCATGCATCACGTCTTGTGCAGAGTTTTTTTGGGAAACATCAAGTCACCCAAGTGACTCAGCCTCACTACAACCCAGATTTGGCCCCCTGTGACTTCTGGCTTTTCCCGAAATTAAAATAACCCTTAAAATGGAGGAGATTTCGGACCATTATAGAGATTCAGCAAAGTATGACAGGGCAGCTGATGGCAACCTGGAGAATTGTGTGAGGTTCCAGGGTGCCTATACTTTGAAGGGGACTGAGGAGTCATGTCTTATGTACAATGTTTCTTGTATCTTCTTCAATAAATGTCTCCATTTTTCAGAGAACATGGCTGGATACTTTCTGGACAGGCCTCCTATATGTGCTGGAATATACAAACTATGGTTTAAGCCTTGACACTTGGGACGTAGCATCAATTATATATTTTTAAACTAAATTCCAAAGAAATTTGGTTACTTGCACAAGAATACAATTTTTTCTCTATGTTCTCAATCCAGGTATAAACAGAAAGATAAAACACAATTTATTTCAGTAAATACTTTTCTGCTTTTTAGGTGGGGGTTACTATTTTTTCTGTCAATTCCTAAGCTTGGTCATAAATCAAAACATATTGCAAATTTCATCACAAAAGGAATATACAGGCTGTATATAAAGATAAATGGTATCGTTTCACTTGACTCTTGACCAATAGGACTGAAAATGGGAAGTATTCTGGAAACATCTGTCATTTTGGTGATACCACTAAATCTTCATCCAGTTAAGATTTAGTAGCATCATTGAAATGGCAGCTGTCTCCAGATGTTCACCTAGTTAAATCTTTTCTTTCTATTTCTAGACCTTCTAAAATAAAAATGTTCTGCCTGCCAAGCTCTGAAGTAGATTATAAGGAAGATGAATGAGGGGTTTTGCTGATATTAATTGATTTAATTTATTTGAAATAAAAAAATAAAACTGCTTTCAGACTGATTACAATTTTGTTAACATTTTATATTAAAGTATATTCCACAGACATCTATAGAAATAACACATGTATGGTTCATTTTAAAAATAAAACTTAACAGTGATAGAAGAAAAGGCTTTTGCTCATGTATACTACAAGATTCATTTTAAGTAACTGTAACCTGAATTAAAATTTTAGTCCCATAAGGTTCTAAAGTAACCGTGGCATGAGAAAAATACATTAAATGGCATTTATGCTTTTTTCAAAGGTGGAACTGGGAGGGAATGAAATAGCCTAGTCATTCAACATCCATTTAGTCCTTAATAACACTTGAATGTATTTATTTAGCTCCGGTTCCTAGTTAAAATGACTGAGCAGCTGTCCATGACCTCCTGTCCCCATTCTTGCCCCTTGCTAGCTGCCCTCCCAAATTAACACAATAGTGAGAAGCCAGACAATGTGAGTATGGGCATCAGTAGAAGGTCATGGTGACCTTTGAAGGCTGTGAAAAGTTGAGTCTCCCAGACCCAGGACTTTGCCCAACCGTGGTGGGTTTGCTGTCTGTCTCCTTACTATAGGCTGGGGCCTCCCAGGAGTTCCCACTCTGTTTCCACACAGCCCATCAAAGGGGATCCCTTTCTCTGTCAACATCTCCTAAACTGATACCTCCCCCAAAGCATCTGTTTTGGTTGTCTATTAAACACCGGAGTACATTTTTAAGGCTGTACAAGTACACTTGAGGATTTTCTTTCATTCAATCAACAAATATAATGAAACTGCCAGGCAGTATGCTAGTCAGTGAGGGTGAAATAGGAAAAGATAAAGGGCCTCACAACCTCGTGAGAGAGAAATGCAGGCAAAGAATCAGTACCATGTGGCCTGTGTCGTGTTAGAGGTCTAAACAAGGAACCATGGGTGGGACAGGTGAGGAAACACTTCGATTCATCTGGGTTGGCAGGAAAGACATCACACTGCAGAAGACCTCACAGTAGAACCTTAAAAGGGATAGGGCCGAGCTATCCAAGCAGGGGGAAGAGTGAGTTTCAGGCCACAGGAGGGAGTGGCCCATGTGAGTTCCACAGGCTGGGCACCAGAGAAGAAGAGGAACGGCCAGAAAGGATGGCAGGGCTCGGGAATGGAAAGCCTGGAATGCTGTCCTAGGGAATTCAGATTCTGTTCTGATGCCAATGGGAAACCTCCAGAGGACTCTTAGCAGGTGAGAGACAGAGGACTGTGGATGGGGTGGTGGGCAATGTGTTCCCTTGCTCTACTTTTTTCCTATAGCATTTACTACATTTTATTGCTCAATATAATTATTACATTTAGTGCTGCTCTCTTTCTACGAGGATGTGAGCTCTGGGATGGTGATGACCTTCAACTGTCACATTCACTGCCATGTTCTAAACTAAAACAGTCTCAGATCCACAGGTAACATTGATAAGTATTTTATCACTTAATTGAATCAATGAGTGGTGTGGTCAGAATACAGCTTCGGAAGGGTCATTCCAGACACTATTAAAAATAGGAAGACTACTCAAAGAACCTAAGTCAGACTAGAGGACTTGAAATAAGACTGGAAGCTGGGAGAAGCACTGGAAGGTGACAGCAAGTGAATCACCTGGACCTGAAGCCGGGGCAGTGAAATGTAGTGGGGGTTGTGGGCTGGAGGTGCAGTGAGGGGCAGAGGAGAGAGGACCCTGTTGGGCGTCAGTGGCCAGGCTTACCTCGGTAGAAGCTGCCAACTCTCCTCGGAACGGGATCATTGTATAGATGTCTATTTTCTTTGGGGGCAGTGCCATCATCAGAATGGGGATCATGATATGCTCCACCCTGAGGGAGGAAACAGGTTTATATCAAAGTAAATGGCCTGTGAACTTAGAATAGCACCTCACTGATCTATAATTTACTCCAGGATTTTTTTAAAGAGAAAACTCAGAATGATGGTATGAGGGAAACTACTTTATAAACCAGTTCAAATTATTTGTGGAAGATTAGATATGGATAAATTTTAAAAGACAGGCTGGGGTGGGCAAGAGTAGGGGGGAAATGGAGACAACTGTACTTGAACAATAATAAAAGATCAATAAAGAAAGAAAAATAAAAAAATAAAAGATAGGCTGTAATGATGTCAAATGACCAATCTTTACTGAAAGGTTGTATCATATAAGGTAGCAACTCCGGATAATGCAGACCTCAGATTTCTGCCGTGCATGGAACGAAGGGTTGCCTTCTCTAGAGGGTTCTTTAACAGAAGATCTTGCCACAGTCATCTCTGGAGGGTGCTGTTCCCCGGGCTGGAAGTCAAATTTAAAAGGATTTATAAGAGTGTCCTTATAAATGATGAAAATCACCTAAATTGCCATGGGCTTTATTTGGTATAACTAGTACCTTAACCGACTAAAGGAGAAAATGTTAGTGGGCTAAAACACAAATTGTCCCATAAAAGAGTGAGTCATCTGATGACTGTAAAATAAATCAAACAACTGTCACACAAATGGAAAGTGAAATTCTCATTAAAGTTAAGGCGAGCAGGGAATAAATTACTCTGAAAATAGTTTAATTAATTATTAAAAACAAAGAAAATGATCTTCCTAATATCTAGATAGTCGTGGTTCTTCTGCACAGCACTCTAATTACAGATTCTATTAGTTAATCTAAAATTTATACAGCAGATTTTAGGCCGAGTTCTCCAAAAAGAACTGTGTAGACCCAAAACTATTTTTCATGAAGGACCTATATGGCATAATCAGATGAAAACTAAAGTTCTTCAGCTATATAGAGGAATAGAGTAACCAGTCTTAATAAATTCTGTCTTAAATATTCTCTAAGTACTGTAGTTTATGCACTTAAGTTTACCTCTGCATCTTCTGTAGGGTAACGGTACTTATATTTCATATATTTTCTTTTCTTTTGAAAGGTTTTATTTATTTATTTTTAGACAGAGGGGAAGGGAGAAAGAGAAGGACAGAAACATCAATGGGTGGTTGGCTCTTGTGTGCCCCCCTACTAGGGACTTGGCCCACAACCCAGGTATGTGCCCTGACTGGGAATCAAGCCAGCGACCCTTTGGTTCACAGGCCAGTGCTCAATCCACTGAGCCACACCAGCCAGGGCTCATGTATTTTCTTAACCATAATTACAACACTGTTCATCTCGGGAGACACTACCTATTTCTGTCAAGGAAGTGATTCATAAGCTAAGAGCAGCGTGGGTCCACGATGGTGTTCAGTGAGGGAAAAAGCAGCATTTTCTACCCTTAGGAAAAAAAAATTAAGGGACAAAATTACCAAGCCAGCAAGAGGAGTTAGCAGCATTACATATTACCTTGAGCCTTATGTGATGTCTCAAAGCTGTTTTATTTAAAACTTCAAACCTGAGTCTTTTTGTCTTTTTTCCCATCAGTCCCTAATGTACTATGAAAGGATTCTAGGCAGGAAATCATCCAATGTAGCGCTTCTTTCTACTCTATGACAAGATCTCAGATGGATTTTATCACCTATATTGTTTACAAAGGCTTCTAAAAAAGTATTTTAGAAACAAATGCTTTACATCTCACCTAAACTCTCAAATGATAGTGCCAGTCCAGTCCCCTTAACTCTTGAAGGTAGCCACATTTTGCAAGAAAGTGATTCCCCTTACTTATTTATGTGAGGCTTTAGTTACTTGTCAAGCAGTCTGCCATCTCTATGCCTTTGAATGTGTAGTGTCTTGTAGCTTGGCACTGGATATCCTAAACTGGATTTAACATCCTGTAACAGTTGGGTCTGTGCTTAGCCCACAGTAACTTTATAACTAGTCTATTCTACCATGTTCACAAAGTCTTTTTTCTGGAACTCTCAAAGCGCCAGTCCACTTGTCCTTTTTTGCAAGTTCAAGCTTTTTGTTTGTCTTACTTCTCTGTGTACACTATGCTTAGTGCTAGCATACTTTACCTGGGATTGACCTTATTGTTTATGTGCCCCTGCCAGGCTCTAGAGATCCCTGTAAGCACTAGAGGTTCTCTCCTCTCTACAGGGACTCCTTGGGGGCTCCTCTGACCACTGCTCTGACTCCAGTCATGGCATCTTCTGCCCCTCCCCTCACTCGGGCGCCAGTCTTTCCAACCTTGTGGAGAACACCTCTGCTTAAAGGTTCAGGGTCACTTCAAGTTCAACATGTCAGCATGATATAGTACAGTGAGTGCTGGCTGGGGACCTGGACGTTGCCTCATGATCTAGTTGGGTAAACTTGGGAAATTCAGCCGACTTCTTGGAGCCTCAGCATGCTCATCTGTTGAATTCAGTGTCTTCAAAAGTCCTCTTTTGTACTCTGAAACAGAACTCCTAGAAAAGTAAACTTGAAGTCTTTCTCTTTCCCATATTCAATCCTTCAATTCACAAACCCTGTTCTTTCCACTGCTGAGGGGCCTTTAAAACCCACTCTTCCCCTGCTTTCCCACTGGCACTGACAGTCCAGAACGTTCTCTCCTCATCTCATCCTTGGATTATTACAAAAACCATTCCAAACCCTGCATTTCCATTCCAGCAAGGTGGAACAAGTTGTAATCCCCATGGCACGCCATGCTATTTAGTGTCTTTTTTACCCTCCTCCTCTTTGCAGTGTTCTTTTCTGCCCTTCTACCAAACCTCTTTTGTGATGTTGATTCCATTTTCTTCCCCTAGTTAAGTCCCAGGAGTCTCTGCTCAGATACCACCTCTCCTGGGAGCCTTCCACAAGCCACTAACTGACCGTGCCACCCCTTTGTCCCTAAGGCACAAACACCTCTAGACAGCACAGGCGTGCAGCCAAATAGTTATTATAATGAGCTATGCACTGGCAAATGTGCGACCCTCACCTCAGCCCACGCACTCCAAGAGGGCAGGAAGCCCATCTTTTTCATCTTTCTAATTAGAGCCTATCATGATGCCTAGTTCAGTACATGATTGAACACATCTTCATTCTTTAGCCTTCCAAAAAACCTGTCTCTACATCTTAACTCACAGCAAGACCTTTAGTTGCCCCTAAAGTCATTTCTGACTGCTCCTGCTCACAATGCTCTCTTCCCTGTTCTCAAGTTCTATTTATACTGAGTGCCACAGGAATGTGGTTCCTAATTAATTCATTGTTATCATGTATAATTTAATCTTCCCTGAGAGAAGATAAGTTTTTCAAAGGCAAGAACCCGAGAATACCTAGCATAGAGAAGGTGTTCCATATCCAAAGAACAGCCCTCACCACAGAAGCAGTAACAGCAACTAAAATTTGTTCCACACTTAACTCTGTGCCGAGCACTGGGCACGGTGCTTTATACACAATCTTTAATCCTAACAACAACACTCAGAGGAGGGATCTGAGGCACAGAGAGCTTGTGTCACTCTTCCAAATTCATACAGTTTGAAGCACATTGTGGAACTGGGATACAAACCAAGGTCTGCCTGGCTTCCTGGCTGAGCTCTTCGCCACTTTGCTATACCTACCGCAACTGCTCATCACTGCCAGTCCCCTCTCCTCAGCACTTACCTTGCTAAGCCTCCCATGACATTTTCCATCCATATTTTCTAAAGTTCTTATACAAGCTGATGAACTTATTTTCATAGCCTCTAAAAGGGGAGGACTTTCCTTACATGAAACTCTTCTCCTCACATTGACTTTTCTCCACCTTCATTTCTTTGAGGCAGCTGAGTATTTAGTATCACGAAAATGTAATTCTTAAAAAAATGTTTTGTTGCAAGAATGCTGCTGCTTTTAAACAGATGCGTGTCAGGCCCTGGCTGGGTGGCCCAGTTGGTTGGAGCGTTGTCCCGTGCACCAAAAGGTTGCAGGTTTGATCCCTCAGTCAGGACACGTGCCTAGGTTGTGGGTTCATCCCTGGTTGGGGTGCGCATGAGAGGGGACTGATCAGTATTTCTCTCTCACACTGATGTTTCTCTCCTTCTGTCTCCCTTCCCCTCTCTCTAAAATCAATAATACAAAATATCCTAGATGAGGATTAAAAAAAGGTAAACAGATCAGTGTCAGTTCTAGAGTCTGAAGATCAATTAAGATGGAGTAAGTATCATGCTAAAAACATTGCCTTGAGATTTAAAAACAATCCAAAGACTAAATATTGACATTTATCCTGGCCTGATGTTAAATTTCTCTGTAGTTCTAGATAAACTTAAAACTTTTCAATTTGGTTAAGATATTGAATAAGGTCTTAGAGCAAAGGGTTTGATTTAAGCAAAAGTGGTTTTGGAGTGATTAAGAGAAAAATCCCGATAAATTGACACTAAATTTTAAGGAAATGAAAAACACACACACATAGAGTGAATGAACTCTACAATAAAAGAAAATAGGATGCTCTCAACAAAATATGCCAAAAAGGAACATTTGATAAAACAGATTTCTAAAAAGCTTTTTGAGGTGAGTACTCAATAATTGGCTTAAAGAAATTTTTTAAATAGATTGGTCCTTCAAGTATTGTGTCCCTAAATGCATCCTATCAAAAAAAAATACAGCCTCCTATAGTAGGGAAAATTGCAGACTGACCCTAGTCACCCCTCCGCCACCTCCCCATGGTGAGCCAGCAGATCTGGTTAAGGTTCTTAGCTGTACCTGAGGTGATAAGAGCTGCAGGCTGTTGGCTCTGGCTGCCATCCCTTGTCCTACGCTCAAGCTTCCATCCAAGCCTTTGGCTCTCACTTTGTCCCGGGTCACATACATGGAATGCCTATGTGGACGCTGCTGGGAGGAGAAGGGGCTAGTGTAGCCCAGCCCATAAGAAAATGATTCATGAGGCGCAGACAGAGAATGAGAATGGCTGCTGTCCACATGCTCTGGGAGCTTCAACTCATCCATGGTTTTTGAATGCCTGGCTGTGGTTCGGCGTGAGTCGAGAGTACCCTCACTTCGGTTATTTCTCCCCGAGGGGCTAAGCAAAGTTCTCGTGTCACTGTGCCTGGTGGGGGTTGGGCTGGTGGGCGAGTTCAAGTCCAAGCAGCTGGATGGGAAGTACCTACTGGAACTGGACTCTGTAATCGGGGCCCTGGCTTCAGAAAGGTTGCTTACAGATTTGGAGTCACTCAATGCCCCATGGCTTTTGGCCTTGGTCCGGTAGGATGGACTTCGAGAGGACTGGGGAATGGTGTCAATGTAGCTGTGCCGACTCTGCTTTTCACTGGGCTGCAATGTCCCAGCTTTGCTCTGAGAGCTTTCCATAAATGAGTGCCGGTTCTGCTGTGATCTGGTGCTCGACTTGAGGTACTTTGTGCCTGGGCCTTCCGAAGGCTTTGGGTCAATATTGAAATCAAACTCTGACTTTGACTTGGCTTCTTTTGGGCTGAGAAGGTGTGGTATATTGTTGTTGGTAAGATCTTTGCTCGCGGACCCAGGCTGGCTGCTTGCTTGGTAGGTTTTGGTGTGCATGGGACTAAGAGTAGCTCCAGCAAGGTTTCCATTTAGAAAGCTTTCATTGGCAGGAAGAGCTTCGTCAGCCCGGGGCAGACCCACACTTAGGTTCTGGATGTCCTTGCTGTTCGACCTGTGGTGAGACTGCAAAGCGGCACTTTTGCTGGCTTGGCTTCTATGTTAAAAACAAACCAAAAAATGTATATCAGTTTTCCACAAACATGCAAAAAAGTTTTATTAAAAAAATAAGAAATACCTAAAACACCTCAAAGACTAAAAATATTAATTCTCTCCAACTAGCGTCAACAAATAACAACTAACCAATAGCAGTAAGTGCCTTAGATCAAGTCACTCTGCCACAAAACACTGGTCCTGATGAAATGATTTGGACATCCCTAAAAGCTCAGCTAACTTGCTGCCAATACAGTTTCTAAATGATAACCTGGGAAAACATTTTGCCATGTTGCTGCTCATATGAGTGTTGGTTATAGAACGCCTGGTAAGAACGTGAGAGTTGAGCTACAGAAGAACTCTTTATCTTTTGTCTGCTTGAATGTCAGAAGGTAACATTTACACTTGAAGGTCACTGCGTTTCTTAAATTATGTTTTTATTTGTCAAACCCACAGCCTGCCTCAGAGGTATACACTGACATCATACACACACAGACACCAGTGTCTCTTTTGTCTTTAGCCTGTATCATCAAAGAATGATAATTCTAGCAATGTACTCAATAAAAGAAAAATGACACTCTAAAAAGAAATGTAAGCTGCCTGGTGATGTTTGTTGGAAAACACGATGATCGATATTTATGTTTTAGAGAAGCAGCAATCGTCGGGGTACCTCAGACACTTCTTTGTACATGCAATAAGAATCTGTCTCTAACTGGACCACAAAGACGTAAAGAGTTCATTTCTCTCCAAAAGACACATTTTTTCTTCTTTTTTTCATTTCACATGTCATTATTTCAAACTGACTGAGGCCTTCTTTAGGATTTAAAGCTTCCCTTACTATTTATTTTAAAATGTAAATTATAAATCTGGAGGAAAATCTCGTCCTATATATGAAAGCTGAAAATGATATCACAGCAAGACCATTTTGTTCTATTGTAATTAAAGGATCAAACTGTAGTTACAGATAGGTAAGAATGTTTTTAAGTAAGAAATAATTCCCTTTTACTATGCATTCAGGAAATTTTACTGCAAATATTGTTACTGCTAAAGATGGTTTGATTTGGGAAGAGTTCTGTTCCCATCACACACTAATCGGAAGGAAAGTCACACTTTTTTCCCTGTAGAATGGTAATCTGTGAAGCCATGCCTTCCCATTTCCCCTAAGAACCCATTTGCTCAGACATCAAAGGTCAGGACCCTTTCCCTCTCCTCCTACCATTCAGAGTGTTAAAAAGTATATCTCATATCAAGCAAGCCTGCACTAGTATGGAAGGCCCCATCTCCCAAATGTACTCACTATTCTCTCACAGTTGGGTTACAAGAATTTCAGCATTAAACAAGGTCACTCAGATAAAAGCTAACTAAATGGCAGATCCCAGACCTAGAAAGAAATTCCAAAGAAAGTTTCACTTTCTGTTAAATTATGTCAACAGAGTATTTTCCCAGTCAATAATGGACAGTCTCCAGAGTCGTCTGTCAATTTTATCTTGGTAACTAGAATATCTTAGCAACTTCCCAAAACCCCAAATGATGACAGACAAATAGTCTCACCCATAAGTACAAATGATTAAGTGTGTTGGTTAGTCTCTATTTGCCCAACCCCCAAGCCATTCTCCACTCCTCTCTGCCCCAGCCTGGGCCTCAGGAGCCTGTAGACTGCGTCACCCAGACTCCCTTGCCATCTAACCCCCAGCTCGGCTTAGCAGTGCAAATGGTTGGGGGCTGTCTTTCCTGCTCCTTCCTAGCATCAGCGCCATGACTCAGACCGTAGCTGTGTTCCTCCGGATTACAGCTCCCACAGGGTGGCTCCTTCTGCCTGGCTCCCCTGGGCTCTCATAACCCTATTTCTTCCCCTTTCTCCTCCAGGCCTAGAAAGAGTAATAGTAGGAATAACACATGCACATATTGTGAAATGCCTGAAGCTCCAGCCAAAAAAAGGATAGAGAAAAGTGAAGGTAGCTGCTCGAGTTCTTGAAATGCTTAGAAACACTGCTATCACTGAGGAGCACAAGCAAACCTACATGTGAAGAAGGACATACTCATAACAATGTAAGATACAATTTCTAATGAGAAAAGGGACACTATAAAGTTAGTTAAGGTAGACGCATTTGTCAGAGTTAGGTTTTCCATAAGTGTATTACAATTCTAAACTGCTATTCTGAAAGGTTCTGCCTTGGCATTAATCTGAAGGCACTGAGCTTTGTACATAATTCCTACAGGGCAGCTGTAGGAGAGGGCAACAAATTGCCTTCAAATTGGAGCCCTGTCAAGCACAGCAATGAAGAAAACTGCTTTGAAAATTCCATCTCTTTGATACATAATTGTAAGGAAACTGTGTTAAATGGACAACCACTGAAGAGAATTTAATATACGCATATAAACCCCTCTTTTTTTTTATTGTTGTTCAATTACAGGTGCCCCCATTTTTCAATTTACGAATACACTTACAGATCTAAAAAGTACTAGATCTTGAGCTTTCAAAATTCTATACATTAAGAACAGTTATTCTACATGGAGAGAAAACTGGGGGAAATAAGACAAAGTTTATATTAAAAAAACTTCATATTAAGAATTACTATTTTCTACTTCTATTCTAATAGTACATGAGAGAAACTATTTCCTATCTCCCACAGACCAAGCAACACCAGATGACCAGACCAGCTTCTTGGGAGAGGGAGGAAGACAAGGAGCCTGTGACAAGCATTCTGCTCTCCTGTAAATGCAACCAACAGAACCATGGAATGGCAGTTCGGGAGAGAGAAGCTGATTGCATGGTCCAATCCCTCGTGAGTCTCCCCATCCCCAGAAAAAGAGAGATTTTTTAAAAAGATTATGCTGAAAATTATACTTAAACATTTTAAAATCACTGTCTTCTGAACTGATTTTACTATTTCCATATTCTTATTCTTATAAAAAAAAACTTGTCAAATATTACTCAAAATGTAAGAGCAACAAAAACATAAGACCATTCTATAGAGCCAGACCTACTTGGTTCAGTTGCAAAGATTGTCTGAGGTACCTTCCCACCCACCTGGGTTTGGTTTCCTCTTCTCCCTCCAGAAATCTCCTTGCTCTAAGTTGCCCTTCTTCCCTAGTTATACATAACCTCTGGGTCCCATTTACACAGAATCTTCTGGCTCATGCGGCTAGAACCCCTCTTTGTTGTTAACCCATGCTACCATTCCCAGGGAATGCATAGGCTTCTATAATATAGTTGTTAAAGACGAGAAAGTCTGTAAGACCCACACAACTCTTAAATTGCGGTTCTGAATCACATAATAAGCATAACGAAGATATTTTTGAATAAAGAGGGCTTTCCTTCTTTTCTCTAATTGCATCATTTAAGCACCCACCTCCTCCACCTACTCGTAAGACCAACACTGCATCTGCATTTCCTTAAAAGGGAGTATTTACCTGTTAGACAAAGTGCTGCTTTCCACATGGTAAGGTTTTCTTTTTGCTGACCTTGAAGGGGAGCGGTCCAAAAGTCTCTGGGTTTGAAATGCAGGGTGATTCAAACACTGTTCTGTCAAGTATCTTTCAGCTGGGTCCAACTTCAATAAATTCTTAGGAAATAAAGTTAGGATTGGAAAGAACATTACAACATCAAATTTAATCTGTCTTGAAAACCTTATTTTTTTTAATATAAAAGAAATGCATGGTCATTGCAGAATACCTAGCACAGTTTAGTCCAAAACATTTTTTAAAAAGGACTATCTAAATCATCCAAAATCTTACTGTTGCTGGCCTCTGGGGATATGCCCTCTCAGCCCCTTTTCGAATATAATATAATATTTTATGGCTCATATTATACACTTAAGTTTTGCATCCTGTACTTTTCACTTACTAATCAAAAACATTATTTACAGCATCATTCCATCATTTTAAATATTTTTGGAAGAAGTGTATATATTCACGTGAAAGAATAATTTCTCCTCTTCCCCTCTCTGGAGGCAGCTCATGTTACCAGTTTCTTATGCATCCTTCCATAGATACTCTGAATATACCTCTATCTGCTCCTTTTATTCCTCCCAAATAGTAGCACAGTGGTCTGTGCTTAGTTTTCTTTCCACTGCACATTAGATCTTATGAGATCATTTCATATCAGTAAAGAGCTTCAAGTCTATGGATGGACCTTAGGTTTTTCTTTTTTAGCAATTCCCTAATGATAATATTTCAGTTGTTTTCCTTCTTTTATTATGAACAATGTTGCAACAAAAAACTTCACAATATGTTTTTAAATGACTATATAGAAGTCTGTAGTATGGATATACCACGATTTATTTAACCAATCTCTTATATTTAGATGGCTGTTGCTTTTTACTATGATAATTAATACTGTGATAAACACCTGAAATCTTTGCATACATCCATGATCCCTTTTCACAGGATAAACTCCTAAACATGGAACTGGTAGGTATGCTAACTTTTAAGGATTATTTTCTGTGTGTTGCCAAATTACCCCCTAGGAAGTTTGTCTCAAATGATACTCCTTTTAGCAACTAAGAGTCTACCAATTTCCTGGCACCCTCATCAACAATAGGTATTATCCCTTTTAGTACTTATAAATTAGATATTTAAAAAATGGCATCTCATACCTATTTTAATTTATATCTTTGATTACTACTGAGGTTGAAGATCCCTATCATAAACTGAAACATTCCTTTTGGGTCAGAATCTGGAAACCCAAGCCATTGCTCACATGCAGGTAGATTTACATTCATGTTGACTCAGATACAACTCTAAAATTATCTCACTTCTTTCTTCTTCCTTATTAGTAAACAAAAACTGTGGAGGTACATAAAATGATTTTGGTCTCACTGGCAGTTAAAACAGTTAATATCAAAATAGTTTCAACTGCGTGATACTGGTTTAAACAAAGGAAAGTTAGCCTCTGAGTAGTATTTTAAGTTAGAAGTACATACACATCACCTTCAGAAGCCAAATATCCACTAGCATTAAAGTGCTATTTTAATTTATTTAAAATTATCAACAGTAGAAATTACTACATGTACACACAAAGACCTATTTCACATTTACGAATATATCTGTTAATTTTCAAATTAATTAGAAGGATGAGGTCATAATGAGGAAAGCATAAAACAGTTTTTTAAATAAAATAGAACCCATACAATTAGTGCAGTTGTTCTTTAAATTATTAGGGGCTTGGATTAATTCTGGAGACTTGAATCCCCAATAAAATGGCTGATATGTATAAACAGATACAGAATGAAATGGCCATTTTAGGTACTTACATATAGACAAAATTATCAAGTGTGCTTTCAGGAAATGGCAGAGATGCAGGGATGTCAAACTCATTTTTACCAGGGGCCACATTGGCCTCGCAGTTGCCTTCAAAGGGCCGAATGTAATTTCAACTCCTTAACTGTTAAGGAGTAGTTACATTTACATAGTCCTAAAATCATTTTAGCCCTTTGAAGGCAACCACAAGACTGCTGTGGCCCCCAGTGCAAATGAGTTTGACACCTCTAGCATAGAGAATATATTACTTTTTAAAAAAGATTTTATTTATTTATTGTTAAAGAGAGGGGGAGGGAGGGTGAGAGGTAGAGAAACATCAATGTGTGAGATATACATTGATCAGTTGCCTCTCGCATGCCCCCAACTAGAGACCTGGCCCATAACACAGGCACGTGCCCTGACTGAGAACTGAACCGGTGACCTTTCGGTTCTCAGACCAGCCCTCAGTACACTGAGCCACAGCAGCCAAGATGAGAATATATTTCTTCACGACAGGGTAAATAGTACTGTTCATTTTTCAAATTCATCTTTAACAATAACTAAAAAACAAAAGGACTAATCCTATTTATACTACTATCCAATAATAAAAAGGCAATATTAGCCTTGGCTGGTATTTCTCAGTGGATTGAGAGCTGGACTGAGAACCAAAGATCATGCTTCGATTCCCAGTCAGAGCACATGCCTGGGTTGCAGGCCAGGTCCCCAGTAGCAGGTGCTTGAGAGGCAACCATAAAAAAATAGAAAAAAAGGCAATATTAATCTTTAGTGACAGAGGTCAGACAGTTTCCAGGAGTAGGGACAGGTGGAATATAGAATCTGAGAGGGGGTCATAATATTCTATACCTCGGTTTGGGTGGGGTTACATAGATATGCTTACATTATAAATAGTCACAGAGACATACACATAATTTGTAGACCTTATGAATATATATTTCAATAAAATGGTTTTTTTATGGTCAGGAAATTTGAGGGTATATTACATAAATAGGAATTAGACTGTTTTAACTTCCAAACTTGTATAAATGCGGAAATATTCAGGTTATCTTTATACTTTTAGCTGTGCTAGATTTTACCAGGTACCACCATACTGATATTTGTTAATTACATTTGGTAATAATTTAACAAAGAAAGTTTAATTATTTTTAGCTAAAAAGAGACAATGCAGAAAACGTGAAATAGCATTTAATTCAGTTCTTCTACTTTATTCTATTTACGTTTTTAAAGTTACCAAATAATTAAGACCCTGATAAATAAATATTGAGTGAAAGAACATGTTGACAAAACCCAACTGATTTAAGAGATAATTTATGTTTAATTAAGCTGAAAGAGTCTTGGGGGTTCTTTTTTTTAATAGCATCTCTCAATTGTGTTCAGAAGAACATTTAGTGCTATGGAGTTTTATTTTTTAAAAAGTATTCAGTATTTAATTAAATTAGGGAAATGTTGGGTGAGACAGAATTGCTTTTTTACTGTGGGGTTTCTCAAAGACTTTATAGGTTAATGAATATTGAGAATGTCTATGAAAGGTTTTTATGGTATGTGGCCTTTCCCAAAGGCCACGCTCCCTCCCCCACCTCTGCCCCCACGCCTATTTACAGTGTTCCTTGGCACACAGATTACCATCGCTTAAAGCATAGCAAAGTTCTGAGGGCACTGCTCAGCAATTTCCAACTGTGCTAAGTATGCCTTTAAAGTCCCTATGCACAGTGTTAACCACCTCCGATTTTGATGGTTGTCTGAATGGGCGCAAAATAAACCTGATCCATTAACAACTGTGTTTTGAAGATCTACTATAAAAAAAAAACAGCACTTGCTTATGTACTGGCTGGCTGTAATGAAAGCTGAAGAAATTAAAAAAAAACACAAAAAAACCCAAACCCAGTTCTTACTCAAGGGGCTGACTCTGTTTCTTAGGGAAGGAAAAATATGAATAAAAAACTGTGAGATCGTTTTCAGCACTCCAGAGAAGGAAGATGTTCTGCACAGGGACACTAGCAACAGGGGGACACTCAGCCACAGTAGTAGAAGCGGGGTCAATTATCTGTGTCAAAAGAAGAGCCAGAAAGAGCCAAGTCTTGGGGAGAAGAGGCCAAATTAAAAATAAAAAAGCAGAATTAGGTTCACTGGCAAAATAATCTTATGGGAGGCCTTAAATATCATATAAAAAAGTCAGAATCTCTTTTCTTTCAACATTCATTTTAAAATTTGTTTTAAAAACTTATACCTGAGCAGCTCTTAAGTACTGAGTAAATTTAATTATTTCTTATAATTTATGTTTAGATTGTCATTATTCTGTCAATTTTAGGAATAAAATTTAGGTATCTCACAGTCCTGCCTGGATGGAATGTTACAATACCAGATACTGCTAATATTTTCAATAAATTCCATGCCTTTTAACATGATATAATCCCCCATTATTCACCATTATACATCTAATATCAAAACAATTAATTCATAAAAGCAGGCTATGATCACAATTAAGACACCAGAGAACCCACAAACCAAAAGAAGTTTCCTACAACATCAACTTGTCCCACCTTCATTAGGTCGAGTAAAACGCTGTTTAAAATCCCCAGGTATCTTCTCTCCAATGACTGAGGATGGTTAACAGCTGGAAACTGGAAAAACAACGTGACAGGGGTGTTATTAGCACATGGGGAAGATGTGTGTGTGCACGTAGTATCATTGCTGCAGAAGGTAGCAGCCGAATGAAAGTTATTGCCCTAGTGCCAATCAATTCAAATTTATTTCACGTGTATATTACTTTTGGTGTCTATGTATTTGAGGTATGGGTTAACAGAATTGGGTGTTAAATAACAGGAAAACTCACAGGTGAAAGGTGATACTTAAACCTTGTTAGACAACACTGAAGCATGCAAAACAAATCAAAATATAAAAATACGATACTATATTTATATAGTATTGCCTTCTTATATAGATAATTCAGTTATAACACAATTTATACAGAACTTCTCTGCTTATATAGAGCATTCTTGTCTTTTTCACAACAAGGTATCATTTACTCCTGAAAATTAGAGAAGTAATAAAAGAGAAAAAGAGAGGCCAGTACCTAAAAGGCCACAAAAGTACAATAGAAATAATGAATTCAGACATATTCTATTATTGCTTTTGATGACATGTTTTCAATTCCTTCCTTTATGTAAGTTGGAACAGAAGGCAAACAGGCTCCTAAATTCACAAATGCCTTTTTAAATAAAATGAAGGGAAGATGTCAAGCTTATTTAGATGTTCTGTCCTTCCCTCTGTCAACTCACATTTCACAGTATCTAAGTGAATGATAAAGTATTAGCCCAACTCCATGAACTCCCTCCCAATGGGAGGGCTACTTTGTTTTCGATATATATTTTCTTTATGCCTACATTTCAAAGTACTGAAATCCTTAAACATGCTAAGTGAGTAGATGGGAAGATTGGTTATGTGGGAAACTTCAAACAAGGCATTTAGGAGTGATTATGACCTCATCCCCCATTGTGCCAGGCAGGGCAGGAGAGAGAATATGGGTAAGACCTAAACCTTGCACTCAAGCACTCTTCAGGCGTGTGGAAAAGGAATCAGTACTGAACGGCATAGCCATAAATTCCACTTGGAGCTTACAGAAAGGAGAGACCAAGGTGGTTTGCAGATGTAGAAGAAAAAATCCATAGCTAATATTTGAGCTAGGTTTTGAAAGATAGGAAAAATATGAGGATGGAGAAAAGTAGGACAGTATCTTGTACATAAAGGAAGTAGAAGAAATGCCATGAACTTAATTAACACAGATACAAAGGCAATAACTGAACACTGATTTCTGAGGAAAGTGATGCTACGTGAGGCATTTTAGCAATTATCATTCTTATTTTAGAGATGAAGGAAGTGATGATCAGAAAGTTCAAATTAACTTGTATAAGACAAGTAACATAATTAAAAAGCAATAGAACTAGTACCTTGCCCCCAAGCCTGCAGTCCAAACCCACACTCTTTCCAAACCTAGGCACTTCTCCTCAGAGAGATGCAGAGGTTCCTTTGGATATTGTCAGAGCAGTAATTATTGGCCCAAAGAGAGAGAGGGACACCTGTCTTGCTGTGATAAAAGACTATGCTGGTACATCTTAATGATATTTTGCTTACGTAGTCTATCTTATGTTACCAGATACTCCTTCCTTTTTCCCCTTCAGAGTAACATTTCTTTGATAAGAAATGCTGAAAGTCAAAAAATATTAGAAATATTATGATAAAAAATAACCAAGCAAACTCAGGAGGGGAACCATAGAAATGGAGATCACATGGAGGGTTAGCAACAGGGGAGTGGGAGGAGGAGAAGGGGGAGAAGGTACAGAAAATAAGTAGCATGACGGTAGGTAGAAAATAGACGGGGGGAGGGCAAGAATAGTATGGGAAATATAGAATCTAAAGAACTTGTGACACATGGACATGAACTAAAGGGGGGGACTGAGAGAAAGGGGTGTTCAGGGGGAGGGCAATAAAGGGGGGAAATGGGACAACTGTAATGGCATAATCAATAAAATATTAAAAAAATAACCAAGCAAACTCTTAAAAAAGTTTTATGTTCCTTTGAATGAAAACTACCCTTCTAATAATCCAACAAATAAGCAAAACTCAAGCATAGAAGTTTAAAGTATATCCCATTCAATGGGTCTTTCTTTTTCCTTCCCTCTTTCCTGCCTCCCTTATTTCTTTCCCTTCCTCCCTTCCTTCTTCCTCCCTCCCTTCCTTTTTTTTCCTTCCTCCTCCCTTCCCTCCTTACTGAGCACTTTCTATGTGTCAGGCACTGCTCTGGGAATCTTACATATCACAGTTAATATTCACAACAACCCCATCAGGTGGAACTCCCATTATCATTGTTTGATATGTGAAGAAACAGAGGCACAAGAAACTTGTCTAGTCATTTAGTAAATATGGAGCCAGGCTTTGAAACCCACAGTCTAACTCCAGAGTCTATGCCCTATACTATGGGAAAACAATTGTTACTTTTTCAAAATAATGTGCACACCATTAAAGCAACATCTTGTTCATTTTCCAATCTCTACACAACTAAAGCAAAATACAAAAAACACGAGGCTAGTTACTGGTGAGTCCACGTTTCACAGCTCTTGCAGGTCACATGACCTATGTGCTTAGCTATCTGTTTCAAACATTCTCAGGTAAAATGATAAAGGAAGACTGTCCTTCAAAAGATGTTGTTAACCCCCCCGCCAAAAGATTAAACTAATTTAGCTAAAACACCATAAAATCTTAAAGACTAAAATGTAAAAGCATTAAGGTCTATAAAAACCAAAGTATCATGGAAGGAGCAATTTCTCTGAAGGATATTTATAAGCAGTGTTGTCACGTGCTCTCTAGAACTTTACAGATCATAGTGAGCGAGTCTGTAACAAATAGGATCATAGACAAATGAGGAAAAGATGGCCTTCATGTGGCCTATCTAATCCAAATGCCACTTATTCTTCAATATCCATTCCAAGGTTCAAATTCTACATAAATCATTGCCTAGGGAATGCAGCCAACTATAATTTCTAACTCTCCAGAATGTTTCACACTCTCATGGTCTCAACCACATTGAGACGTATTAGAAAACATTAGTACAATGTAGGAAAGAATGTGGCACTTTATTATACACCATGCTTAATTATAAACTGTATTGCTTTCTAATTATTTCACGCACAAACATTTTAACTCTTCAGCTAGTTTTGTAAGTTATTAAGGCCGGGTACCATGACAGCTCTGTTTACACTCTCTTCAGGGAATCTAGCACAAGAGCCTCTTCAACCAGGCAAAGAACAAGGCAGCCAGCAGGCAAAAGCTTGAGGCTCTAGATGTTAGTGTTAAAATTGTGAAGTCGAATATTCAATCATTTAATGCCATTCAACTTAGTAGGCACTATTCTAGTTGGGCTACAAATACAATGGTGAACATGATAGCTCACTTCCTCAAGGAATTTATTATTGGTCCAGTGAGGATACATACTTGCAAACTGGCTAAAGAGACTGCACTGAGTGAGTGCTGCCAGAGAAATGACCAATGTGCTATAGGAGCACAGAAGGAGGAGTCATCAGTTCCCTTGGAGGAGTCTAAAAGGACTTTACTTGGGGGAGGACATTTGACATGAGTCTAGGGGAGGAAGAGCTTTCCAGGAGTGGGGTGAGCACTAGGAGCATTATACAAATGAAAATACAGCGCTACAGAAACAACATGTCAAGGAAATGGTGAGGAGGTCAATGTGGCTACAGATGAAAAGGGATGGGAAAGGACAGGAGACAAGGTTGGAGGGTTAGGAGCCATGGGTTCTTACTGCTACCCCAAGGGAGTTTAAACATAACCAGCAATCCTGTAGGGGCTTTTAAACATAAATGAGATGAAATTAAATTTGAGATTTGAGGGAGAGCATTCTAAAGGCAATGTGAAAAGACTGAAGTGAAGTGAGAAAGTTGAAGTGATCAGTTTGGGAGCAGCTGTCAAATACTTTAGGTAAAAGGTGTAAGAGTGAAAGCAGCAGCAGAGACGGACAGAAAGGAAACATAGTTGAACTTAAGTGCTGACAACACAGATTGGGTCACATGCTCAGTGATGTTGGAAATACACTGATAAAACCTGATTTCTGCCCTTGGGGAGCCTATATTCTAGTGGTTCAGAACTAGATGAACAATTAACAAGTAAACAAACAAAATAATTACATACTATGGTAAGTGTTATGATGGGGAGAAAAGAATGCTATGGAAGACAATACAATAGAAAGGAGGTGGGGATGGTATGTTGGGGGGTCAGAGAGAGGGGGTATTCTTGGAGCTGAAGTTTACAAAATGAGAAGGGGTTGCACAAGGGGAAGTGCCTTTACTGAAAGGAGGCACAAGTCTCAAATTCATGAAATTAGAAAAACCTTGGAATGTTTATGAAAATCAAAGAAAAAGAAAAGCAAGTGTGGTCAGAGTCAGGAGAGGGAAGGGAATGCAGAGCGATGTGAGCAGAGGTCACGGAGCTAGAAGGGCTTGGATCAGGCAAGGTGTCATAAGCTATGGGAAGGAGTTTGAATATATTCTCGGTAAAACAGGAATTCATGAATTATTAATAACTTTATGTCTGAATAGGTTTTCTTTCTGTTAGACTGAGAGTGAGTCCTACCCAATCTCATACCTTTAGCATCTAGCATGATAAATGCTTAATAATAACTGTTGAACTACATGCATCCTAATTTATGGTCATAATTTGGCTAATTGTTGGCTTACAAAAACACGAATAAAAGGAAAAAAGAGAAACTTGCTGGAGGTAATGCATTTGGGAGAGAGAGAGAAAACATGAAGGAAATGAGAGAGAAACTCCGCACTTCTATTCACTCCTTCCTTTCACATTCAGGAGTGGGCACTGTGTTGGACACTCATGTGTGAGGAGGGGTGCTCTTCAAAGTGACGTAAACTAAGGTCCAGAAAGTCAATGGAAGAAACAATGTACTTTGCAAATGTCAAGAAAACGTGTTTTGAGAATTATGCACTTAAGAGAAAGAAAGAAAGTGGTGGTAAGCTTATTTTACATTCCCTACAATGGCCACCACCAATTGGCATTCTGGCCTGAACAGGGTAGCTGACACTAAAAATATAGCTTTGGGGGTAGATGAAAGAGAGAAACAGCCTATTACTGGCCACTCTCAAGAGGTGTTTTTGCAAGCTGGTTGTTCCTCATTTGGGGAAAGTTTACACACACACACACACACACACACACACACACACACACACACACACACGTATATTTTAAAAGATTTTATTTATTTACTTCCAGAGAGACAGGAAAAGAGGGAGAAAGGGGGGGAGAGAAACATCAATCAGTTGAAAACATTGATGTGTGAGAGATACATTGATTAGTTGCCTCTCGTATACCCCCAACTGGGGACTTGACCCACAACCCAGGCACGTGCCCTGACTAGGGCAACCAATCAAATCAGCAACCTTTTGGTTTGAAGACTGGTGCTCAGTTCACTGAGTCACACCAGCCAGGGTGAAAGTTTACATTTTAAGATCCTTTTTAACATATTCTCCGAAAAGTTTTGTACAAAGTTAGCAAGTGTGGAAAAGGTTTGCCAAGGCAATGTGCTAGTGTGAAAAGAAGATGATGTTTCACTATCAACAGACGAACAAGAAATAGCCACTAGAACAGCACATTTAAAACTGTAAAATGTTAAGTATTCATAATCTTCCTCAAATCACTACAAATGTTTGCTCAAATATGCAACAAGTATTTATGAATTTGGGAATGCTTAATATATTGGATAAAGAAACATTCTGAGATAACCAAAATTTAGAATATATAGTACACAAACTAGAAAAGACTTTGAAAAACTGGAACGTGCAAATTAGGAAAAACATAAGCAGCTCATACTTTCAAATTCAGACCACTTTTTAAAATTCACAAATACTATATAAAATTCAAAAATAAAATATTATAATAGGACTATAAACACTGTAATGAGAAAGGGAATAGCTATGCATTTCCATTGTGTAATAAAAAATACTGCTGTACTGATTCCATTTTGGTTTTTAGCAAAGCCTCTTACCCGGAGCCCATGGAAACGAGGATTACTATAGAAGAGCTTCATCTGCTCAGACGGTAGTGGTCCTAGCACCTTCTGAATAGTAAAAAGTTGGTCAATTTCGCTTTCTCCAGGAAATAAAGGCTGTCCGTCGCTAAGCTCCCCAAGAATACAGCCCACTGACCACATATCCACGGACTTTCCATAGGGAGCTCTGAAAAGCAAAGGGGGGAGATTATCTTGGCAACTGAAGAAATGCATTCCAATAATTTCCAAGTTATTTTGAATAGATTCATGATTTAAAGTACATTTATGTATTTAAGGTATTAAAAAGTACGATGTGGAAAAAAGGGAGGCTATAAAAAAAGGGAACTATGGATATTCAAGTAAAAATTCAGAACACAAGTGAATAAATCTATGCTAATAAAACCATCAGTTTAATAACAACTTAGGATACATTAAGGTGAAATCTATTCACATTCGGGTATATTTTGAATATGAACGCCTTAATAAACCTAAACACAGTGCACATGTCTGATTATCACCTCACTTGGGGAATAAAATGCTCCCAAGAAATTTATGTTCTAGGTCAGCAATTGTCAACTCATGGTAGACATAAACTAATTACAAAATTCTGTGGCACACCAAAAATATATATTTTTTGCTGACCTAACAAAAAATAGATGTAATTTTGATTGATTTATACAAAATAATAATTACCTACCACATTGCTCCATGTGACTTTTTAAAAAATCAGGTACCTATATTTGTATATAAAGATTTCTTGTACCACGAATTAACCAATCAGACACAATCTAATTATGCAACATGACCAATAAGATGCAACTCTATTATATAACATGTTCATGGTTCAAGACAGGGCATTCACACCAGGTGGCTATTGTTATATTGGCTATTGTCATTTTTTTATTTGACAATCTTGGGGAAAAGAGATCAGTGCCCCTGACTAAATAGTCAAGTATATTGCATGTTTTAAAAAGCACTGTTCCAGGTAATTATCCTTTAGCTCTCTAAATGTCAAGAAGGGAAATCTTACCCATTTTTTTGAATTCTGTCTATTAAAATTGTACTACTGACTTATGTGTCTTCTTAAGCAACAAGCACTGAATATTATTTAACCTTTGACTGCATGGTCAAAATTGCTAATAGCTAAGATGGTAATAAACTCTATTGTATTATTTACTTGAATCTATTTGTACTTGATACATGGGGCTTTATGATAGCTATTCCCCTCAAAGCACTTTCCCCCATTATTTAGGGTTTAGCTCTCTTCTAGGGTCTGAGTTTACTGTTTTTAATAAATGGAGGCTATACACAACAATCTAGGTATCACCAAAACACCACTAGATGTCTACCCCAATATCTAATGCCTTAAGTTAAATTATATATAGCATATTAAATAAGAAACTGTATTTTCATTAGTTTCAAACATAAATAATCTAAGCTTTAGGAAGGGAAAGCCAAAATAAAATATCTGAAAAAATGGAATAAAATTCTACAGTACCATAATGGTATAGTAGTGATACAAAACTTTTAACAAATACTCTAAATGAAAGCACTGTTAACACTATATAGAATACATTTCTAGGACAATAAATCAATGAACAATAAGTCAATATTTTATCTCATTTCCTTCCCACAAAAACCTAAGAACCATATTAGGAAAGTCCATGTGGTTTTGTTTTCGAGGTAGGTTGTTGGGGAGAGAAGGATACTGGTTTTTCTTTATACCTATGACAGAGAAAACTTGTGCTAGATGGAGAAACCTATGCAAAATCTCCACATGCCCAGAAAATGTCTATATGCCTAGCCTACTCCAATGTTATTTTTCTTCTGTCAACTGATTTGAATAATTTATACAGTTGGAACTATTTTGAATGTTAAAGACAAAGTCTTGAGAATGTATAAAAATGTAAATTCTTAATCTTACTCAAATATCAACTGATATCAATGAAATTTTTACACAAATAACATGGTTCTTCAACTAGTATTGATACTTGCAATTATTAATTAGCAATATTTAATTTGGATCAAATTATTTGGAGTCTTCATCTACTTTGGGTGCCTTCCACACATCACTAAAGTTTTGCAAGAAGGCTGTCCTCAGAATTATCCTGTTGGGGCCAACTTATACACAAAACCATATTATAACAAGTCCTTTTACCATAATTGAATCCTCAGATGGGGTTCTATGAGTGATCTAATTTATATTCATTTCTTCTTTGGCAAACACTGTCCAGTAAATTCAAATTACAACCCCACCCAAAAGAAATGGACTATGCCTCCCAGTGAGTCCAGACAAAGGTACATAGATGACACACACAGAAATAACCTCTGTGTACATCTACATTCTTAATGTCAAAGATTATTCACGAAGGTGGCAGCAGTGATTCCTCCCACTTCCATACATCTCCCACATTGTAATGTGACCCTACCACTCCTCCAGTCAAGAGGTGAAGTTCATTTCTCCATCCCTTGAATCAGGACCTGGCCATATAATATGCTTTGGTCCATGAGGCAAACGACATATAAACAGAGGCTTGAAAACTACTTTTGGTTTGGGGCTTGCCCTAATGCTGCATGAAGCTTTTCTGTTATTACACAAAGAAGCTTGGACTAACCTTTTGGAGGATGAGTCTCCACTGGACACAGATAGTCTGTCCCAGCTAAAGCTCCATAAATCAACCAGCCTCCAGATGACCCACAGACTGACTATAGCTACATTAGCAACTCCAGTTAAGACCAGCAGAAGAACCACCTAGCTGAACTCAAGTTGCTGACTCCCTTAAATCATGAACACTCAGAATCATAAGCAAAATAAAATGGTATTTTGTTTTATGCGATTAAGTTTTGGGGTGATTTGTTACATTGGAATAGGTAACTGGTATTTAATTAACTGACATTCTTATTGTCCACAGATTATCCCAGAGCTAATAATATAGGGTCAGCAGATATGCAGATATCATTCTATGTGGGTAAAATAACTCACCCAAGTAAGAGTTCTGGGGACCGATACCACCTGGTGGCCACATACTCTGTATAATTAGCATTATTGCCTTCTGATAGATTCCGAGCAAAACCTGAAAGAGAGCAAAGTCCAAAGGTGTAACTTTGAAAAAGAAATAATTTCATGTTGGCAAAATATTTCAATGCTAGCAATATTTTAAAGGAACATCAAAAGAACATAATGACTGGTCCTGATCAACTGTTTATTAATAGTGTCCTTATTATTATAAATGGTTAGTCCACTGTTCATATGTCAATTAAAATATATATTCACTAAAAAAACAGTTTCCCTCTATGCTAAAGAAATCCATGTTTTCAGAATTATCACATGCTTTAATAAGCATTCAGCATATTTAGAAAATAGTTCTCCCAATAAATACAAGTCTTGGGAACAAAATGAAGTTTCACAAAAGACAAGAAGTCAAAGCTAAACTAATGATTTAAAGAGACTCAGTCACTATATTCAGCTATGTGGGACATTCATGGTATTTGTTTATCTACTGCTGCTGATCAGTTCCAGCCATTATATAAACAAGTAATTGTTGGCAATGATGAAAACAAAGCAGGCCAAAATTATTTTCATCTCCTAATGTGATTGAGAAGGATATAAGAGGTATCTTACTTACTTTATAGACTCTATTACTATTTCCCACCAAAGCCCTTTCAAAAGGTTTTAGGGTCACAAAATAAACCAGCAGTTAATAACCCATCTAACTCACCAAAAGCAATGTGGATTCATTGTGAATAGCTATAGAGAACCAGAACATTAAAATTAGAGGTAAAAATTAACATGTGTATCAGTTTTGAGAAGTGGAAAATAGAGAAGGGAGTGGCTTCTACCCAAGATGTAACTAGGGGCTGTGCTCCTGAGTGGGAGCGCCTGTGTGAGAGCTTGGAAAAGATTGACTCCGGGACATGAGGGGATAACTGCCCAGACTTCCGCCAAGATGGAGACGTAGATGGAGGATCCACCTCGCCTCTGTGCACAACCAAATCTAAGAACAACTATTTTTAACAGCAGTCACAACCAAGCCACACGGAAAATTGACAATACGGAGTCCAAAGGACAACTAGATACTCGGCTGGACCGGTACGAGGAGCGAGGCCAGCAGCGGAGCAGATTAGCAAGAAAAAATTCCCGGGGCGGTGCGCACAGGCAACCGAGGGCACTGATCGCCAGCCAGCTGGCTGCCGGAGCGCACAGGGAAAAGGCGCGGCGATCGGTCGGTCAGTCGCGCGCATTTACGTGGGGAGAAGCCAGTGAGAAGGGAAGCCGGCGCGGGGCAGCAGGCTCGCGCAATTCCCATCGGATAAACCCCAGGCGTGCGGAGTGACTGGAAACGCTGGGCTAGCGGAGAGGAACGCCATTACTCCCTCTCTGACCCCGCCCCCACACACAGCGTCACAAACCAGCGACCTGGGTCGCCCCGTCCTGATAAACAACTAAGGCTTCGCTCCGCTCACTTAACAGCTCGAACAGACCAAAAATGGCTCTAGGACAACTCAGAGCCCCAGAACCGATAGACCTAAGTGATGAAGAAATAGCCAGTCTTTCAGATGCACAGTTCAAAACACTGGTTATAAGGATCCTTACAGAACTGGTTGACTTTAGCCACAAATTAGAGAAACATATGGAAGCTAAATTAATTGGAAATGAATGGGGATACAAAAGATTCCAATAGTAATGGAAAGAAAATTGGGACTCAAATCAAGGGAGAGAACCAGAAGGAAGAAAAAAAATGATCAAGCAGAAAGGAATGAAGAAATAAGAACTCAGAAAAATGAGGAGAAGATTAGGAACCTCCAGGACATCTTTAAACGTTCCAACATCCGAATTATAGGGGTACCAGAAGGGGGAAAGGCACAACCATCAGTTGAAAAATTATTTGAACAAATAATAAAGGAGAATTTCCCCAAGATGGCAAAGGAAATAGACTTCCGAGAAATCCAGGAAGCTCAGAGAGTCCCAAAGAAGTTGGACTCAAGAAGGAACACACCAAGGCACATCATCATTACATTAGCCAAGATTCAAATGAAGGAGAGAATCTTAGAAGCAGCAAGAGCTAAGGGGACAGTCACCTACAAAGGAGTTCCCATCAGACTGTCAGCTGATTTCTCAAAAGAGACCTTACAGGCAAGAAGGGGCTGGAAAGAGGTATTCCAAGTCATGAAAACCAAAGACCTACAACCAAGATTGCTCTACCCAGCAAAACTTTCATTTAGAATGGAAGGACAGATAAAGTGCTTCTCAGATAAGACCAAATTCAAGGAGTTCATCATCACCAAGCCCTTATTATATGAAATGTTAAAGGGACTTACCTAAGAAAAAGAAGATAAAAAAAGATGAACAGTGAAAGGACAGCAAACTCACAGTTATTAAGAACCACACCTAAAACAAAAGCAAACTAAGAGGATAGCTAGATCAGGAGCAGAACCATAGAAATGAAGATCTCAGGGAGGGTTAGCAATAGGGGGAGTGGGAGGAGGGGAAGGGGGGAGAAGGTACAGAAAATAAGTAGCATAGACAGTAGATAGAAAATACATAGGGGGGAGGGTAAGAATAGTAGGGGGAAATACAGAATCTAAAGAAATTGAGACACATGTTCATGAACTAAAGGGGGAAATGGTGGGGGAGGGGTATGCAGGGGTGGAGGGGAAGGGAGGGGGGAATAGAGCAAATGTAATGGCATAATCAATAAAAAAAATAAAATAAAATTCTGTTAAAATTAAAAAAAAAATTAAATTAAAAAAAAAGAAGTGGAAAATAGTATTTACTAAAATGGAACAGTAAAAAGAAAAAACAGCAGAAAAACAAAACACTAACTTCAGTTCATCAATACTTCTTTGTAAGACATATTTTGAAGAAATATTAGTATTGTTGAATGGGATTCCTCCAGCTAAACAAAGCTACATGCTCTAGGTGGGAAGGTAATTAGGAAGTCCTTCTAGGGGATGCCCAGGACATAGTGGTGCTGCCACATGGAACTTTGGACCATTTAAAATGGCCTTTTCTGGACTTGGCCAAGATGGAGGTGTAGGTGGAAGCACTTTGCCTTCTCACACAACCAAGTTTAAAAACAACACAGTTTTAGCAACAAAAACATAGCCAAACCACAGAAAATTGAAATACATGGAAGTCTGACAACAACGAACCCTTCAGCCAAACTGGTAAGAGGGGCAGAGCCAGCAGCAGAGCGGGGTCGGGCAGAAAATATCCACCAGACCGACCCAGGCACGCGACCCAGGTGTGCCAGGAGCTGTGGGTGGATCCCAGGTGTGGAGAAGCGGGCGGACCCACTAAGGGCACAAGGCGGTGGACTCATTGAGGGCTGCCCAAGGTCACACATTCACGTGCAGATAAACCAGTGAAGCAGCGAGCAGCAAGACAGACCACGCAGGCCCCAGCTGCAGGAAGCAGCAGAGGGGGCCGCCACTGTCCATCTCTGACCACGCCCCCATGTATAATGTCACAAACCAGCAATCTGGGGAGCCCTGCCCTGGTGAACAATTAAGGCTCCGCTCCTCATATGTAACAAGCACAAACAGATCAAAACATGGCTCAAGAACAACTCTGAGACCCAGAGCCGATAAATCTAAGTGATCAAGAAATAGCCAAACTTTCAGATGCACAGTTCAAAACACTGGTGATCAGGATACTCACAGAACTGGTTGATTTTAGTCACAAATTAGAGGAACATATGAAGGCTAAACTAATTGAAATGAAGGGAAACGCACAGGAAACCAAAAGTAATAGAAAGGAAACTGGGACTCAAATCAAAGGAGTAGACCAGAAGGAAGGAAAAAATGACCAAACAGAAAAGGATGAAGAAACAAGAATTTTAAAAAATGAGGAGAGGCTTAGGGACCTTCAGGACATCTTTAAACATTCCAACATCTGAATTATAGGGGTACCAGAAGAGGAAGAGGAACAGCCACGAGTGGAAAACTTATTTGTACAAATAACAAAGGAGAACTTCCCCAATCTGGCAAAGGAAATAGACTTCCAGGAAATCCAGGAAGCTCAGAGAGTCCCAAAGAAGTTGGGCCCAAGGAGGAACACACCAAGGCATATCATAATTGCATTACCCAAGATAAAAATGAAGGAGAGAATTCTAGAAGCAGCAAGAGAGAAGGAGGCAGATACATACAAAGGAGTTCCCATGAGACTATCAGCTGATTTCTCAAAAGAGACCTTACAGGCTAGAAGGGGCTGGAAAGAAGTATTCCAAGTCATGAAATCCAAAGACCTACATCCAAGATTGCTCTATCCAGCAAAGCTTTCATTTAGAATGGAAGGGCAGATAAAGTGCTTCTCGGATAAGATCAAATTCAAGGCGTTCATCATCACCAAGCTCTTATTCTATGAAATGTTAAAGGGACTTACCTAAGAAAAAGAAGGTAAAAAAGATGAACAGTGAAAGGACAGCAAACTCACAATTACTAAGAACCACACCTTAAACAAAAGCAAACTAAGAGGACAGCTAGATCAGGAGCAGAACCATAGAAATGAAGATCACATGGAGGGTTAGCAACAGGGGAGTGGGAGAAGGAGAACGGGAGAGAAGGTACAGAAAATAAGTAGCATAGATGGTAGGTAGAAAATAGGGGGAGGGCAAAAATAGCATGGGAAATATAGAGTCTAAAGAACTTGAGACACATGGTCATAAACTAAAGGGGGGAATGGTGAGGGGGGTGTGCAGGGTGGAGGGGAATGAAGGGGGGAAATAGAACTGTAATGGCATAATTAATAAAATATATTAAAAAATAAAAATAAAAATAAAATGGCCTTTTCTTGAAATGATGCTAGACCAGGGATATCCTGTTCCTATCACTAATCATACCACAGACATCTTTTGTAACTTGCTTTACAAATTTTAGTAACCAACCCCATATTTCATGGATGCGCAATAAAGGGTCTATGAGGTGTATGAAGTCTCAGTACTTGGTGGTTATCACAATTATGGCTAGAAAGTAAAAAAATAAGGAAAAAAAAGAAAGTAAAAAATCAATATTATTCCTGAAAATCATCAAGCTAAAGAAGTGCTAAAAATGCCACTATCAAAATCATTTAAATACAGTGCTCAGTATTTCCTTTTTATTCTTCTAAGCACTTTTTCAGATGTTTAAGATACAGCAGAATTCATCTCTGCAATACTCCTTATCAAGTATGAAGAAACTTAAGTTCTGCAAAACATTTTTTCCTTAAGCAATCAGGTTCATAATATTCAATTCTTGGAACATATTGAGTAAAAACAACTACACATGCTTCCAATTGCTACAATGGACAAAATTGGTCATTCTAGAGTGAATTCTTGCAGTGTTTCCATGTCTCACTTGTGTGTGCCATCTGCTAAGTACCAATCTAACTTTTGTTTACAAAATGAAATGTCTTCTTATTTATATGTTCAGGTTTATAATTGTATGTGATTATATTTGAATATCTAAAAAAATAACATTATAAAAGCCAATTTATTTTTCAACATATGGATGAAACAAAAGTATAATTTAAAAAGTGACTCATGATGACAACCCTATATTTTGAAAAATTTGTGATTTTAATGTAAATGTTTAAAAGTGTTTAACACAGAGTTTTATACATGGAAACAATATACAATTTTCTACTAACAGAGAATATAACTCAAAAACTTCCACATTCAATCAGGAGCTGGAATATTACACATAAATTACTAATCCCATTCATTGAACATTTAAAGAAAACAAAATTGTTCTAAAAACGTCTTTTGACCTCACAGATATAACTTTTGCATTTGCACCATATACACATGTATATTTACATAAGCATATGTTCATGGTTTATGATTATGCCTAAAGAAATTTTTATCAACATTTAAAATATTTGAAAAATATTTTTATCCTACTCAAACCAGAAAGCCACAGTGGTATTTCCTAGGAAACTCTTTATCTGGGGTCATTCAGTGCCAGACCTATGAATGTATTCACATGTAGGTATTTGCTTTGATTTCTCATTAAATAAATACTGCATGATGAATTTTAAAAAAGGGAGTATCTAGAGCAAAGACAGAGTAGTTATCTCCCTGCAATCAATTTTTTCAACATATGACCGAAAAGAATGCTCCTCTGCTACTTTAGGTCAAAATATAAAAAATAATTTTAATATGCCTGTAAAAGCTATCAATGTGGTATAGTATCTTAGTTTTCCACAGTCGTCTCCCCTTCACAGTGGCTAAATTTCAAGACCCTCCCAGAATGCCTGAAACCTCAGATAATACTGAACCTGTATGTGCTGTTTTTTCCTACACACACACACACCTTTTCACATAAAAGAATCATGTTACAGCTTCTCTTGCACTTTGGGGTATTAAATAAAATAAGGGTTACTTGAACACAAGCAGTGGTGTACTGAGACACTCAATCTGATAACTGAGACAGATACTGTGATTCACATCCCAGGCGAGATAGAACAGGAAAGTGTGAGATTTTGTCACACTACTCAGAATGACACCATTTAGAACTTATGACTTATTTCTGGAATTTTCCATTACATATTTTTGATCTTCAGCTGACCATGGGTAACTGAAAGTACAGAAAGTGTAATTACATTTAAGGGAAGACTACTGTATTTCAAGGGCTCAATGTATTTTTAACTTACCGAAGTCACACAGTTTCAAAACATCATTGTGGCTGATTAAGAGATTTTCTGGCTTTATATCTGGAGTATCAAGATTGAAAAACAATTATTTTAAAATGTGCCACGTACTACTGATTAACACCCTTAGATCACTATAAGAGCATCTATCTAGAAATATCAGAATAATTTGAATAGAAACCTGTGCCAGTGAAAAGCAGAGTAACACATTCTATGCTGCTACATAAAAGTTTCGATTAATTTCTTTTTAAGGAACATGTAGACCACAATTTCAAAAATATTTTCCCTTTAAAAGTTAAAGGCATTAATTGTATCTCTGAAAGGAATTTAAGGATGATTAAATCTAGGTTACCACATTCTAAGAAACTATTTTTACTTTATAAAATACTAATAACACAAATTTTAGAGGTACAATATAAAATGCTTACACCCACAAGATACCTTAAAAGCAAGTATGAGAGTAAATACATAGCATTATGTTTACTGAAGGAAGAAATACATATAAGATGATGCATTTTCTGTTATGAATTTCTATGTCATTTCTACATTTACATATCTCTTAACTTTTCTATGTGGTTTGCAATTATAAATGTCTAATGTTGAAGCTATATTGAATGAGTCGAGAGAAGATTTCTCATTTTTTCCATGGATTTTTGATGATGTGGTGGGAGTTGAGGAGTAGTAAGTAACACCAAGAAGAGGCAGTTTAATTACCCCCTTGGGAGGCATCTCACAATTGCATTTTTAGAGTATCCATCGTCTATATGATATGGTAGAAGTGAAACTGGAAACAGGGAAGAGGTAGGAGTGAAATCTGTAGATTTTAGAATCATGGTTTCTACTGCTAATTCCTACCCATTGATTCACTATGCACTTACTGAAATCAATCTATCACTATGGAAATGCAGCTAAATCAGTTCCTTATTAATGTCCTCAAACTGCATAATAAGGACTGTTATTTTACCCTAGACACCCGATTTCCAGCTGAACTAGACATCTATCCATGCCATCTCTGTGAAGATAACTGCTATGAAAGTCAAATACAAGAGAAATATCAACTGTCTCCATCTAGAAATAATAGGAGTTGGCATTCCTCACAAGCTATTCTTAAAGTGGGGCTATTTTTAGTGATATCCTTTTGTCTGTGTTTGGTAAATTAAAATGTAGCATTCACTTTTTATTTGACAATTCAAAGACAAAAGTGAATATAGCAACATTTTCTGACAAACATCGTTTAGCTTTATTGTTATATCTATTTGTGTCCCATTATTGTAAAACTCTAGAATATAAGAGAGATTATCAGAATATAAATGCTGTAGAGTTAAAGACGGTGCTCAGAAAGTAATTTCCCTTTTATTGCTATAAACTATGTACCTCATGGCAACAAAAAATAGTTGAAGGAAGTATAATCATGGCTTTTATGTCAAGTTGATCATGCATACAACCTGCAAAAATGGGTCCTTTCCAGTAACAGGAAAAATTAGGAGGTAAAGGCACATACTGGAGATCTTGGTCTCTAAGGGAATGAGCAGTGACTGTCAACACAGTGTGAGTGTGGGGGGGAGGTGACGGTGACTTAGGGACTATTTCTAAACCTTGATTTTGGGTTTCACATTACCTGGTCTACCTGAAGGACCAAAGGAGACTTGGAAAGCAAATGATATCTCATATCTGTACTTTCAAAATGTATTTAATCTAAATGGAATGTCAGTGTCAATGGAAATATTCTTATATAACATGTAAAATATTTTATTGGTAACTTTATTTGATGTTTTCTTTAATATCTTCCATTTCAAAAATTCCATACTTACCCCTATGAACAATATCATTCTTATGGCACCAGTGAATAGCTTTGATTAACTGATAGATATAACTTTTGACTTTTTCAGGTGGAACTCCATTTGGCATTTCTTCCAGCAATTCAAGCATATTCTAAAAATTAAATAGGGAGCCATTAATCTCCAAAATTAGGTAGGCCCATAAATCATGCATTAACAATTTAAAAATGCATCTTAGGTGATAATTCATCTAATACTCAGCCTGCATTTTTAAAAATTGTTTTGCTTTTCATCTATAACCTTTTCCATGTTAAAGCAGGATACTGTATTAAATCAAGGTGATTTTTAAAAGAGAATTTCCATTTTTACTACTCCCCAGTGTTGTCCCAAATTCTAACTCTGTGCACTTTTTACTTTCCCTGAAACCCTTTAGGCATCATTTTAGAAGTCTTCAAAGGAAAAGCAACACAAAGAAGAGATAAGACACTGTAATGTATAAAGGAGGAGGGGAACAGTCATTTTAACACAATGCACTGTGTGTCTTTAATATAAATTTGCAATAAAACCAAGCCTTGCAAATATTCCTAGGAGAACTGGAAAATATTCTTAAAAGAAATAATCCCTAAGATTGCAGTGATCAATACAATCAGTACAAAAATGAAAACAGGCTATCCCTGGCTGGTGTGGCTCAGTGGATTGAGCACTGGCCTGCGAACCAAAGGGTCACTGGTTCAATTCCCAGTCAGGGCACATGCCTGGGTTATGGGCCAAGTCCCTAGTTGGGGGTGTGTGAGAGGCAACCACAAACTGATATTTCTCTCCCTCTCTCCCTTCCTTTCCCTCTCTCTAAAAATAAATAAAATCTTAAAAAAAAACCAGTCCAGAAAATACTGCCAAAATAGAAATTCACAGTCTCTAAAAAAATCTATATTCAAAAATTTCATTGTGGAGTGACCATTCTAAAGTTCATGAAATTTTTTCATTAAGTACAAACTCAACTGGTCTCACTAAATTTCCAGATGAACCAAACATTCTCCACTCCCTCAGTAAAGCACAAGACTGAGACCCACGGCACCATTAGTTTATTGTTTGTGGATGACCATCTAGGCCAGCAGTTCTCAAAGTGTGATCTGTGGGTTTCTGGAAGGGGTTCTCAGACCATGCAGAGGGCCCATGAAGTCAAAACTATAGTCATAATAATACTCGGCCTTTTTCACTGTGCTGGCATTTATATTTATGGCCCAAAGTAACAATGGATAAATTGGTAGCACTTTAGCATGAATCAAAGATGCTTCAGTGCCATACATACATACCCTTGCAGTTAAAATAAGCACAAACCAATTTAGGTTAAGGTTGTTTTTGATGAAAAAGTAAAAATTATTACTTATATTAAATTTCAATTCTTAAGTACATATCTTTTTAGGGATCTACATAATAAAATGAGACATATACATAAAGTACTTCTTGCTGCTAAACATCAAACTATGATGGTCATATTGAGGAAAAGGACTCGGCCAACTGAGTTGCAAACTAAACAAGCCATTTTTTAGTTGAAAGGATGACTGACACACAAACACATTTGTTCATATGTAATGGGCTTATTACTGTTATTTAAATGAATTAATAAATATTTGTATATTATTCAGGCTTGACTTTAAATATGAGAAATAGTAACAGATAAAGCCCACTTAAATTAAAAAAAACCAAAACTCTTAGGGTTCCCAATAATGTTTGGAAGTATAAAGGAGTTCTAAGACCAAAAAGTTAGAAAACCACTGCTCGCATACAACACGGCAACTTTGTTCTCACCAGTCAAGTTATGCATATAAACAGTCAGACTTTGTTTACAACACACCTGTACCTATTTATAACAGATGCACTTGTTATTTTAACATAAGTAAACATCATATAAACCAATGAAATAATGTTTTTAAAAAGAAATTTGCTGTTTATAAGAAAATTAAGTTTGATACTTTGGAAAGACTTAATAAAGGAAAACCACCAAATCTACTGCCCTCTAAGCAAACGTGAGTTCAACAATCATAAAACATTTGCAAGGATTGGATGGTGGTAGTGATCAGGATTCTGCACTGAGATTGCTTTGCAATGGTTTTAGGCTTTTGCTTCACTTTAAATAAGTTAGCTCAGCATATCATAGCTGAGGTATTATGGGTATGATGTACGCAAAAACGACCCATCAGAAGATGAGTACTCAAAAGGCCTTGACCTACCTCTGAAGAATGGCAAATCTATATTATGGGTTTTAAGTTAAAATAAAATGTTTAAAGTATGTATACACCATTTTTAAGTGATTCTCTACTTGAATTGCCTTTTTCAATTAACAAATGCATAGGAGGTCCCAAATGCACAGGAGGAATAAGAGAGCTTTGTAATAGAGAAAATGAATGGTCTCATTTCATATTCAACTCTAAATCCTTCGGTGGCAGATAGGAATCCATTCTTCTCTCATTCTACGGTAATATAATTTGTAAGTGGATACATAGGTGGCCAGAATGAAAAGTACATCTCCTCTCTTCCTTATGGCTAGTGTGGCTATGCAGGTAAGTCCTAGCCAATGGAAAGTGATAGCTGGAGCTCTCTTTACCTTGAAGACACGGGCCACACCTCAGGGGTGGTAAGCAGAAAGGCAAAAGCAACCTGGGACTTCTACGGCTGTGGAATTGCCACAGCAGCCTGTACTGCTCATCTTTGTCTGCATTTGTACACAAGAACTTCTTTGTTTCAGCTCCTGTGATCTTACATCTCTGTTACACCCCCCACCCTTACTTAGAGAATTTTTCTCCTTGCCCTCTTGAGACTTGTCAATCATTAGGCACTGCCACTAAAGGAATGGTGTGATGGTCACCCTCCACTGAAAAAACACAGGGCCAGAGCAAGAAGCCCACACCCAGGGGTCAGAAGACTAGACTTCCTGTAGCAGTTCTGCCACTTACCAGCAGACAGAACTCAGATATGACAGACTGTCTGAAACAAAGAGGTAATTTCTCCATTTGCGCCCACTAAATTGTTATGAATTATGAATAATCTCTGTGAGTAGAACAGGAATAAAAAGGTAAATGAAATAGATATCAGAATTTTATTATTTGGCAGTGAAAAACTGCAAATGGCATAATTATTTCTGACAACTGAAAACTAATATAAAGAGCATCTGATTTTACAGCTATCTTTTAAAGTAACTTTTGAAAAAATATCAAACTTTTTTTGTTGTTGTTGTTGGGGAAGGTTCCTTCCTTAGGAAAATACCTAAACTGACACACACAAAAGAAACCTTGAAACAGATTTTAGGGAAAAAACATTAAAAAGTATTTAAAACAAGAAGCTTTGTATTATTTTTCAACTTTTGCTTGTAATGAAGTTACTATATATTTTTGAAGTTACTTAATTTTTTTAATTAGAAAAAGAATTTGTAAAGGCTGAATTATTTCAAAAGCCACATTACTGGTCAGTCATCTCAGAGCAGCACTGCTCTCCAATTCAGGATGATGGTGGTGGTAGTGACATTCTGTCATTTATGCCACAGAAAACACCTGGGGAACTGACCTAAAGCAAACAAAAACCTTTCCAGTCTTAATCATCTTTAGATAATAACAAAAGAAATCAGCAGAACCGCCTATTTAATGATCAAGAAAACCTTTGATTGGAGGAACAAATAGGAAGGACACAGGGACGAGAACTAAGGGGGGTGGAAATGGGAGGGAGGTGGGGAGCACGGGGCGGGGGAGGCTGGGATGGGAGAAATAGACAAAAAAATATACTTGAAAAATAACTAAAAATTTTAAAAAAAGAAAACCTTTGAAAAGGGCCGTCTGGCTCTACTTTATTTTATTCTTATTAAGACACTGGTTTAAGTTCTTGATAATAACCAACTGCTATAGGTCAGCTGCTGTCCAAGACAATCATAAGCACATAAAATTGATTACTGTAGCATGCATTTGCCCTTAGGTCATAGCATGAACAATTAACAATTTTTAAAAAGTATACCAAACAGGCCCTGGCTGGTGTAGCTCGGTGGATTGAGCGCGGGCCTGCGAACCACACAATCACAGTTCGATTCCCAGTCAGGGCACATGCCCAGGTTGCAGGCAGGTTCCCTGTAGGCCAGTTCCCAGCAGGGGACGCACAAACGCAACCATACATTGATGTTTCTCTCCCTCTCTCCTTCCCTTCTCCTCTAAAGATAAATAAATAAAATCTTTAAAAAAAAAGTTACTTGGTTAAAAAAAAAAGTATACCAAACAAGCACACGGATAACTTGAACAATGTGTGATCTTTTCTCCAATGCTTCCAATTCCTTACCTGTGGTCTCACCTACCTCTTCAAGCCTCACGTTATGCCTCCTGGCACATCTTCTTCCCTCAAATATAGCCAAAGCACTGGCAATTCATAAAAGGCTGCTTCATGAGCCCACCCATTCACCACCACATGTCTGAATCAGACGCCCATCCTATGCTTGTAGGATCTTACACATACTTCTACCATCCTGTATCATCACCATCAACTTACTTGTCTCTCCCTCGGGGGCCTCACTCAGGTTCAATTAAAATAAACCAAGTCTAAAAATTACTTGTTGAACACAGATTCTCAGACTTCAGAAAGCAAATCAATACATTGTTTAAACTTAAGATTATATTTATACAGTTAAATTATATAAAATAGGTCAATGTATTCTACAACTTCTCTAGTGACTGTGGGTAATACTTTCCATTTTTAAAGTCCTTAAATTATGAGGACATTGAGAAGTCATACTAGATAATAATACTTCCTTTAATAGTGCCAGAAACAGCCCTAAAAAAAAGAATCAGGCAAATCTCCATAGCACCGATTAGTGACTTACTTTTTCAACATACTCAAACACCAAGTACAATTTCCCCCTCCGACGAAAAGCTTCTTTCAGCTCCACAATGTTTTCCTGTTTGAGAGTACGAAGCATTTTAAGCTCTCGTAAAGTCGTTTCCTTGACCTCTTCATTTTCTAGAATGTAAACAATGGTAAAGAGAGTAAAATTAAAGCTTTCAAACTACTGTTCAGAAATTTCTAAGAACATTGAAAACACTAATTTCACTTTCCACTTTGAGTACTTCTGCATAAGAAGTCTAAGGATGACACATTAAATACCACTTTTTCTCATTCAAAGGATCAAGAGTAAGAAACTTCAAGAAAAGGCTTATTTGACCAGCATGAACCTAATTTTCTACTTGAATTTTCTTAACCTCCTTATTGTAAAGTATATGTGAAAAATATAGAGTTCTAGGTAGCACATATGAACCCACTGTCAGTTTAACACTACATTCTGAAGAAGGAATTTCAAAGCATAAAAAGGAAGCAACTGAATCAGCGTGCAGAGGAGCCTCTACAGAGCATCTGTAGCAGCTGATGTTTTTAAGTTTGGTCTGAAGCTTTGGCTTAAAAGAACATTTTGTTCCTCAGATGCATGGGAGTCACCTCAGTGAGCAGCGGCCATGTGCCAGGCATCCACAATGAAGCACACAGTCAAGCTGCAGGGAATTCTACGCATGTCTGATCTTCTCTTGGAACAGCAGCTGCTGTAGGTTCCTGCCATCCTCCTGTGGCATGTCCATCTGTCCATTCCAGATGGTGTAGCTGTACCATGGTGGAGAACTTACACTGAACCAACATCTCCTTCTATATCATCAATGTCACTCATGATAACCTCACAGACATGGAGCGAGGACAGAAGTCACTTGAACTCTAATGGATTCATTAATAGGGGGAGCGGGAAAGATAATATTTCATTTTAAATCAGTTTTCATGATTTCACCAGGAAATTCTAACTATCATGTTTACATGTGTATACATAAGGATGCAGGTCCATACTTCCTTATCTCGATTCCAAAAATCCAAAAATCAGTCTAAAAACTGAACACTTTTTCTAAGCTTATGGCACATCTGTTTAAAGGTAAAACCTGAACTGACATAAGATCACTTATAGTATTTGTGTATGCATCCCACTTAGTATGAATATTCATTTGTTGTATTTTAGAAACAGTACCTGATTACAAGCTGCTAAAGTAAGAACTCAAATTTTCATTCTAAAATCCAAGTTATAAATTCTGAAACACATCTGGCCCCCATGGTTTTGGGTTAAGGGCCAGAGTCCTAGCTTCAGCGTCTAAGTTGTGTAACCCTCAGGTTCAGGTATTTTGGGGGCAGGAGAGAAGAAGAAAAATGGAGTTTGGGGATAGGAGTGAGAAAGATTAAGGTGCCTTCTAGGAAGAAATACTTCCTAAGCAAGACACACAGGAGGAAAAAGCCTGAATGGGGCCAAAGGGGGAGGGGGCACTATATAAATATAGTGCTCAGAGGGAGTACTTCTCAGATTATTTTCTGTCTCAAACTCCAGTCAAATTGAGTTTAAAGAAACAAGAACTGGTTACACCAATGAAAAGATCCTCCCACTTCAGTAAGAAAACTTGGAGAAGGGTGAAACTGAGATTAGGAAAAGGCAGAAAGAGTCACTGCTCATCAGAAGGAAGCCAAGAACCAGCTACAGTTAAGGCCAACAGTGGCTTTGGCAGGGAACCATCCCAGTTCATTTCATGGGTACTCGCAGCACCCACATCAGTGGAAAAGAGCATGGCACAGTGGGAGCCACCTGGCAGTAAGAGGGAAATGTGTGCGATATGATGGGGAACTTCTCAAAGCAGCTTAGAGAATGGGGCCAGAGGTGGAGATGGGGGGCAGAGAGGGACACAGAGATTCAGCTGTTCTGCTATTCAAGGCTAAGCCAGAGAAGTGGTATTTTATGGCTGTTAGAACTGCTAAAGCCTAGAGAACACTAAAAGCCTTTAGTCTTATGAAGAAGGCTAACCTGCCTCTCTGCTATTCCATGTGAGTAATTCTCAAGGTTGGGATACTCAAACTAAAATTCACCTATCTCTAAGACATGGAAACACACAGATCTCAGTAAGAAGGAAGTGATCTTCTAACAAGGAAGTGATGTAGCAAGAAATAATGTATTGATTACTCATGACCTGGTTCCTGCGTACTTTTCTATCCTCATCTCATGTCTCTCTTCCCCCAACTCTACCCATTAGTCTTTCAGTTCCCAAATGCTTCAAACTTTATTTTTCAATGTTGGGGCCTTGGGACTTGTTTCCTCTGCCTAGAACTCTCCTTCTACTACAGGGCTGGCTCTTTCAGGTTTTAGTTTAAATGTTACTCCTTTAGTTTTACCTTGTCTGGGCAGCTTCCAAGACAAGGTAAAACTAAAGGAGTTCATCATCACTAAGCCATTACTATGGTAAATGTTAAAGGGACTTATTTAACAAAAAGAAGATCAAAACTATGAACAGTAAAATGACAACAAACTCACAGCTAGGAACAACTGTACCAAAAAAACAAACAAACAAAACTAAGTAAACAACTAGAACATGAACAGAATCACAGAAATGAAGATCACACGGGAGGGTTATTAGCTGGGAGGGGGTAGGGGGAAAATGAGGGAAAAGGTACAGAGAATAAGAAGCATAAATGATAGGTACAAAATAGACAGGAGGATGTTAAGAATAGTACAGGAAATGTAGAAGCCAAAGAACTTATATGCATGACCTATGGACATGAACTAAGGGAGGGGAATGCTGGAGGGAATGGGGGTGCCAAGTGCAGGTGGGCAAAGGGGAAAAATTGGGACAACTGTAATAGCATAATCAATAAAATATATTAAAAATAAATGTCACTCCTCACAAGTCTTGCCTAGCACACTAAACCAAAGCAGGCCTCCATCCCCATTATTCCTTATCACGGTACTCTGAAAGTTTCTTAGAGATCTTCACAACATCTTTATTTATATCTTTGTTTGATTACTAGTTTACCATCTGTGTGGCCACCCCTGCAAACTGAGAGAGCTCTAGGAGGACAGGCCTCAGTTCTTCTGTTCAAGCATATACACCCAACAACCTAGGACTGTACCTGTAACAAAGAGGGGATCAATAAATACTTCCTACAGGAATGCTTCCACCGGTGTCAAGAAGACAGACATCTCTGTTCGCACGTGGCTTGCTCTTACTACCTTAAGACATGGGCAGCCATAATGCAACACCTAGATTTTATATGCTTTTAACCAACTAACAGCGTGAAAGGTGACTTTGAGAAAGCCACTTAACTTGTCATTCATAAAATAAATAAATGGGCATCCCCCACACATACACATACCCTGAAAAAATCCCATTGCCTTTTAAAATATAATAATCAATGATTTCTTTTCATTAAAATCTCCTTGATTATGAGCCTAAACCTCATTGAATTTTGGTTCTTTGTTATGTATGCATCATTCAAACCTATACTGGTTCCACTTAAGCATGGTTATAGAGTGAATAGAAACGAATCTTCCAAAAGCAGTTCGCAAAATCACTTAAGTATGCAGTGACCAAACCACCTCATTTGAGCAGCCTATCATTTTTAGGAAATGAAGTCTTCTCTAATTTATGCCAGTCAGAGGTATTAAAAGTTGAGACTGTAATAAGTGGGAATGGGCAGGAAGTGGAATTATTAATTTCATAAGTGCAAGAAAATGCATACCCTTCATTACTGGGTATATTCCATCATTTTTGTTTCACCCAGTACTTTTAAGGTTCCTGGCCTACCCTCAACTTTATGATGAAAATTTGGGCACTAAATAATCACATGATGGGAAACAGGAAAGCACATTCCATTTATGTTTGTTTTCTTCCTCAGAGGTTCAGAAAGTAGCCATGTTCTTCGTTGAGGCAGTTTTTTAAAGGTGGTAGAAGAGCCCACTGAAGTAAGCACAAAAATCCCTGCCTTCCACTTGATAGAATCCCATGGATTCTTTATTGAGGCCAGCCTCCTCTGGCTTACAAATGAAGAAACTAATTCGAAAAAAGAGTAACTTTATTAAGGTAAGTGAAGAGAATGCCACATTGAGTAGAACACAGGGACACAGGCAACGTGGTGGAAGGTGGTGAGGGAGCTTTGGAGAGTGAGTTGAAACAGCCAGTTCTAGGTCTTGATTCAGCTGAATGACAAAGCAGCACGCTATGGGTGGAAGAAAAACTCAACAAAGACCCTGCAGTCTGAGTCTTAGTCTCAGCTAATCACATAGTTGCTGTGTAGCTTTGGGTCTTTTGTTCCTCAGCTGCACACTGGGGTTTGGGATTCTTCTAGATGATGCACAAGGTCCTTCTAGGTGTAAGAGCTGGTACTTCCATGTGAATACTGCTGATATGCATGCTAGGGAACTTGGTTATCAGTTATCACTGAGGGTGTTGAGCTTAGCACAGACAGAAATTCTAACAAAATAATATAAATTCTACTGAATGGTGACTAAATGGCAGGGTAGGGAAGGGACATTAACTAAGACAAAACAAAAAGCCAAAAAATGAAACTATTTTGAAGCTTGTCAAGAAGGTAAGTTAACACACCTAAATAATCAAAGAGAGATTGACTGAAGTAAAAGAAAAGGATTTTTAAGAAGAAAGATCACAGGAGCAAGAGAAATGCAAAGATAAGTGATAAAAAGAGAAAAATCTAAAGATGAGCTGAATCTCTATTGTAACTCTATTTTTAAAGAACTGTAGGCTTGTAAAAAAAATCCAGAAATAGCTATAACCTACTTTTTGAAATCAGAACCTTGACATTCTTGCATAGCCAAAGAGGCCCCCCAAAATGGAACTTTAAACAGGTGCACTGGTGGGGGGTGGGAAGTCAACCCATCCTTGTATAAAACCAAAAGAATACCATGTTTGAGTCTGGTGGCCCTGACTGAAGAGGGAACATCAATAGGAGGGTGACTGACATGGCTAGGAGGGTTTGAATAGTGGTGCTGTCATATATACCAAAAAAGATGAGAAAGTTTAAATCTTCAGAGATGAAGGCCAGGCAAAGTACAATGGAGATTTATTAAATCATGAAAGGTACAAAATGTTCACCAAATCCTAGAAGAATCCCTGAAGTTTGAAAGAGCTCTATTTTGGACATTAAAAGCAAGCATG